ATTTGCAACATCAGAAATACACTTGTAAACATTCTGCTTCAACCGAATGGGGTTGTGGCATACTTGGAGCCAGACTGTTAGACCTTTCCTCAGAAGTCTGTACTGCACTATATCACACTTCATGCCCTGGGGCTATGTACTTTGTACGCATTCCTGGCAAGTATGGCTGTCCCAGTCAAGTCTTATAAAAAGGTGAATTTTAGCAGAAAATCTGTGAATATATAATATATTTTATATATGTATCTAGACTTCAAGAAGTGACAGTTGTTACTACAAAGACTAATGAGGATGGAAAGGGATACACTCCAATTCTTTTGTAATGTGTCTGGTATTATTTTCCCATGTTTTTCACAGGTTGTAGCTAGGAGGCAGCTGAATGACAACATTTATATCTTTTTGAGAACAAGAGATTTTGAGCTTCGTTTATTTCTCTGTGAGAAGTAATACTGCAAAGAAACTTGCATATCAAGGATAATGGGTTCTTCATATTGCTTTGATAAGAACCTTACAATCACTGGAAAGGAAGGAGATGAAATGTCACATTGTCTTAATAATAGTTTTTGCAAAGCACTGATGTAAATTTCTGTTAGGTGTGTAGCAGGAAGGCATTCAGTGGACCTTGTTCAGATACTGATTCTCTGAGAATTTGTAACATTTTTTTGAAAGTAAAAGGTTTCATAGTTTAGCAGATTTAACAGTGAAACATATTCATGAGTAGACAAAGTTGGCAGCTTTTTAGCTATTTGTTGTTATTAGAAAAAGAATTGGAAAAGAAAATCTTCAGACTTTCTTAAATTTTTTTTTTAAGAGTAACAGGACTCGGATCAGTATGCAAAGCATATACAAACACTTCCTCTGCATGTAACGCCAGTACCCAAACTTTCATTACTTTTCATATAGAGATTATAAACATCTGAGTTCAAAAAGGTTTCAGCCGTTCTGGAAAACTGCAGTGTTTCATTACAAATAATACAGCTAATATCTATCTCTGTTCTATTTCTATTACTTACTCTGGGGTTTCTCTTTTTACCATGTATAGTCTCATCCTGGCCAATCATGTCGTCAGTGCAAGCTACCCAAGCTCTTCATCCCATCTCCTACCAGTTTGTTTCTACAGGCATATTCTACCACTGGTATTTTGTGTTTGAACTAGGATTAATTTATCACAAAATTAATTGAAAGTATTCCAAATATCATTGTGGCTGCATTTTCCTAGATTAATCGTATGCTTAAGGATTTAATTAGAGGATAAAGACTGCCTATTACCTTGATTATTGCATGTAATTATTGACCTGTAGATTGTGGTTGTTTGATTTCTCTGGTGTAGAATTATACAGTCTTGCTACCTTTTTTTAGCTTCTACATGCTGTAAAGGTGTAAAGTGGTTCTTGAATGCATAAAGATTTTTATTCAGATAATCAAAAAGGAAATACACTGAGCTTAAATTGAATGTATTAAGCTTATGTCAGCTGAATAGCAAGATACTGAGAACCTAGGAAGGTATTCATAAGTAGTAATAACAGTACATAATGAGCATTTAATATGCAGAAAAAACACTGTTCAGTAATTATCTACCACCTTAATCCCTGAATTTCAAAAAGTATTTATTAGTATAAATGAATGAACATTTCTATCACTTTACTCTTTTTGAGGTAGATAATTCCTATCACAGCTTTTGGAGTGAGTTACTTGATTGTTGTAGATTGCCCTATATTGACTAAAAAGAAAAAAAAGGAGACAACTCTGTAATGTTTACTTCTAAATTCTAAGGAACTGATGAATTTTAGGGAAATTCTTCTTCAACATTTGATTTCACCTTTGTGAAAAGAATTAAAAAGAATTAGAAAATGTATTGTTTGGAGATGAAGATATTATGTTGAGGTCTCATATGTGCATACATCTTCTGCGGAAAGGCTAAGAGAATGGTTCGTACTCAGTTGAGTGGAGAGGTAGAACATAACAGCAGCCCCCAGTACCTGCAGGGAGATTGTCAGAGAAACAGAGCCAGGCTTTTCACAACAGTGCATGGTGCAAGGACAAGCGTCAGGTTGAAAGTTGAAGATGAAAACAGGGAGGTTCAGGCTTGATATAAGGAGAAAATTCTTTGCTAGGTGAACAGTCAGGTAATAGAGAAAGTTGACCTGACAAGTTATTCATTCTCAATTCATAGAAATTTTCAAGACCCTACTAAATCAAGCCCTGTGCAACTTGGTCTCACTCCACATCCCAGCACTGCTTGAGCAAAAGTTTGGAGTAGAAGCCTCTGGAGATTGTTTCTAACCTAAATATCCAGTGATCCTCCACTACTTCACTGATCAAATACGTACTTGCTCCACTAACTGTACTTGTCTGTAGTTTGAGTCCTAAAACTACAAATTCCTATTCCTGAAATAACAGTAGTCCCAGTGAGGATGATAGAATTGCTGGTGAGAAAGACATCAGAATATCATGTCACAAGTTTGGAAACTGTTTTTCTTTTCTTTTGTATTCAATGACCAAGCATGTCTTTCCTGATAAACTTAACTTCAGTGAAATTATTTGAAAGGCAATAATATTATTCCTTTGGTATTTGTGGTTTCACATGCTATTGTCCTGATTTTACGAGCAAGCTATTCCCCTTACTGTCCTGTGAAAGCCATAATTGTTGTCAAATAAAGTATGCTATAACAGAATAAAAATGACTTACTATTCAGTTTCAGTAACTTTAAACATCGATAGTATATATATATATATATATATACACGTATATATATATACTACCGATATATATATATATATATACATATGCATATATATCAAAGGAAGAAAGTAGTTTTTGTTGTAGCTGTTTCTGTTATTGTTCTTTTAAACCACATCATTTCCCTCTGACAGAACTGTTGTAAAATTTTTTAAGAATGTTCACCCCTTGCAGAGGCCACAGATTTGCAACCAATGTGATGCCCTGTTTCTACAGAGATTTATTTTCATGTATCAGTATTCCCTGTTTTTACAGGTGGGCAAAAAAGGATATTTTCTCAATAAGATTATTTTTGACATACAATAACAACATCAGCTGGTAAAAAAAATAAAGTGGAAATTCAGAACTTAAAAGTTAATTTAATTTATAGAAATGTAATTGAGCAACCAAAAGAGATTTCTATCTGTGAGAAATTTCATGTGAGCTTTCAGAAGAAGGCTCGGGCAGCTTTGCTTTGCTGCCAGGAAAGCTTATCTTTTTTTTTATATTTTTTTTTTTTTATTTTTTTTTTTGCATTTATTAAGTAGTGGAAAATTGGTAATTGAGAGTGCAATCCTCTGTGCAGGAGTTACATCCCATTATGTCTCTTATCAGACTAGTCCATATAGAATATGAGCTGTGTTCTATGGAGAAACGTTTCTAATTCCAGAGCACATCAAACTGTAATTGCAACTTTAGTAGAGAGCTTTTCAGTTAAAAAGTGGTTACTGTGCCATATAAATACACGTGATGAAGAAGCTAGGAGCTCAGTCCTGGGGACAAGTATATTGCTATTGGGAAGTCTTGTCTATCATTTCTTGGTCACCCCTCATATGAATTGTAGATTGGCCAGGACAGTCTGAGCAGAGTAATACACACTGATTTTCTCTTGGAGAAATACTGAACTCACACACTTTAAGATGGCTTACGATTCCTTTAAATTGTTGAATGAGATTTTTAAAGCACACTTCAAGATTCCTTAAATTAGAAATAATAACTTTGAAAAATGTGCGTTTTGACTTCCTCTGTTTGGGACTGTGTCCTAAAAAAATGCCACTAATAACAGAAAAAAATAATTCTCTATTTGAGTAGGATTTTACACCTTTGGTTGCAGCTTCTTGACGTGATCCAGGTTTCAGCGTAATAGCTGATTCTCTTACACCTGGAGTCCTGTGTTTATTTGAACTGTAAGCCAGTATTCTACACGTCTAATGAATTTTGACAGAGTGGATATTATTGGTTTCCTCTGTACATTTTATCAGCGGATGGTATATATACACTCAATATATAAGTGAAACAGTTGTTGTTTTACTCTCAACTTAAAGGGACCCAAGTGTTGAAAGGCTTATTTGATTTTATATTCTCTTTTGCCAGTATCTGTATATATTTGAGTAATGCATTATTTTTACATTTTTTTATTTGGAATCTGCTATTTCAACTAGTGATTTTTTGTTGGAACTTTTTTCAGGATTCTTTTTACAAGTGAAAATAGCCTCCCAATATCTTTGTCATTTACTATTAGATAATTTACCACTAGAAGATTTCTGTTGAGAAATAAAGTGCTTCATGACAGATCTCAACTTTTGAGTACTTTCATGAAATTGAGATTTTTAGTAGGAAAAGAAAGGTTAAGAATCATTTATAAATTAATTTCAATTCTGGTTTACTTTGCATTTGCAGTTTAATACTGAGCATTTTGACCTTGGTACAGCAATTTTATACTGAAAAGATTGGCATGGAGGGTAAATGCCTCAGCATCTTGTTAATTTTTGAGTGAGCTTCAGTTGTGATAGCTGTTAGCCTCAGAAAAGCATTTTGCATTTGTAGATGTTTCTATGCTTTAAAAGGGGTATAAATGTCGGTGTTCCATTTCAGCAATGTTGCAAATCGATGTTTACTGGATATTTCAAGTTAATTTTACCATGCAAAGAAATAATAATATATTTTAAAAAGAAGTTTTTCTCAATGGTCCCACAAGAAATGGAAGGATCTGGAAAAGAGCCCAAGTTGTCTGACCATTATTTTAGTATGTTGCCTATTTTACTTTCCAGCCTGCTTTCAGTATGATTGAGAGATCTATTTAAAAATAAAATAGAAAATTTGTGATTCAGCATTTTTAACCTATTTTTCATGTAACAGAATATATGCATACTTTCTAAGGTCCTTACCAAAGGTCTTTTTCTTTTTCTTTTTTTTTTAAATTTTGCTTTACTCTTTGCTTTGTTTCATGTCTATTCAATTTTATTTATTCCATGTTTTCTTTTTGTTTTGTTTTTGTTTTTAGTTGTGTCTGGTAAGTTGAAATTTTATTGGCCATCTTCTAATCATCGTATCACTGTGACGGGAACATCTCCCCTTCCCATCCATTCCCTTCCATGTCCTTCAACCAATCAACTCCCATCTTTTACTTGTTATTGACAAGAAACATCGCACAGAATAAATTCTGCATGAAGTATGGGTAACTTAATGACAAAGAGAAAGGTAATGGGTTGCTAACTTTTCTGTTTGTATGTGATATGGTGATTCCAGTCATAATGTCTTCTGTCATCAGTGCCTGCATTAGTTGAACTTGTGTTCTACAAAAGAAAATTACTTTTATTTGAAAGGTCTCAAAGATAGAAATATTTTCCTTAAGTGGATTATTAACTCATCATCTTTTATAGTACATTCATAACAAGTCACTTGTTTGTGTGACCCAAGGTGTGAAAGCAAACTGAATTTAAAAAAAAATTCTGTTGAAATTGCTTCCAGTGCAGGAAAAACAATGAGGAGAATTTATGAAAGTTTCATTTAACCCTCTCTTAATTCTTCAGAAACTGAAGTGAATAGGATTTCCATTATTTACTTTAACAGGAATAGATTTAGAAGACTACAGATATGCATCGTATGCATAAATATTTTGAATAATATGCATGTGAAGTGCATATTTAGAGTAATACATAGAGGCATATACTAATTTATATTTCATAAATTCTACCATGGTTACCTGGGAAACTACATTTTCCATCTTTTTTGTTTGTTTGTTTTCAGTAGTCCTTGAACAATAATCTTCAGGTACTGTAATCACAGGCTTTCAGCTATTTCTCCAGTGGTGACAGCTGTTTGTATGTGCATAAACTGTATTTATTCTCAAGTTCAGCACAGTCTTCAACCTGATAAATCATATGCACTAGCACAGAACTGAGAAACTTTTGGTTCTGTTCTGAGTGGTATTATGTCACAAACGAGTACAGAACCAGACAAACCTTTATTTAACTCTATGCTAAATTTATTCTTGTTATTAGAATTCCAACAGCATAATGACGGTGCTTCACCCTCATCTCCATTTTCTCAATCACACCTTACAACCCACTGGTAAACCCCCAACAGCTTCACTTTCCATTCTAAATTAAACATGCTATCATGTCAGAATCTTCCCATATCACCCTCCAAGACATTGACTGAATGTTTCAGAGCTTAATGTTTTGAAGTTTGCTAATTGTTTTAGTTCAATTACACCTTAACATGATGTAGTTTTTTATCTAAGATAAACCTGGGAAGAGCAGCATTTACATCTAAATGTAAATACAAGTATGTCAAGCATTAAAAGTTCCCTCAAATCAAGAGAGTGATAGGAACAGTATAGTCTACATTGAACTCTGTAGAGAGAAGAGACACAGGCAAAGAGGAGCAGATAACTGCAAGTATTGGCCCACTTGAACACTGAAAGCAATTTTTTTAGAAAGAATTTTATGAGTGAATACTGAATGAATTCAGTAACAGTAGAAGTCTCAGTTACTTGATTTTAATTAAACACATTGAGCATCTTCAAAAGACATAATTTGCACCCCTTCTGAAGAAAAGCTTATAAATACAAAGATGTCTTACAGGAAAAATAAAAACAGTCAGGTTATTAAAGTCAAATTCAAAGCATCTGCATTATTCTCAACCCAAACAAGAGAGGGAGATTAATTGGTTTTGGACAGATGATCAGAAGGCATTGGAACTGAATAGACACTAAGTAAACGGACTTTCATTTAGTGCACATTATTAAAGGAGTGAGAGTGAACAGCCTAAAACAAAGCTGGATTTATTCTCCTGTGCTAGACCCAACAATGTAACTAATGCTGTCAACTATACCAGTTTTTTTCAAGGTGACTGACATAATTTTTTGACATTCTATTTACTACTGGATGAAGTGGTTGCTGAAGTCTGTATAAATCAGTTTGAACAATGCTGGCACTATTTATAATGTTAGGCTGAGCAGATGTTTCAAATTTGCCTTCATTTGCATATATATTTTGTTTGAACATGTCCATGCCTATGTAAATGAGGAAAACATGCAGTTCTGCTGTTGCCTTAAATTCGTTCCTCTTCAGTAATTGAATTGAAGATTTTAAAAATGGTTATCATTTGTTAAATAGTATTTCAAGGGCTTTTGAGTAAAGCTGAAAAAATTTTGAGACCTCAACTGCGTCAGAAGTCTCTTACATAAACAATGAAAGGCTTTTTCTCTCGTAAATCGATGACTTTCGCACATGTAAACCTGAATTCATAATTACTAAACAGGGTTTATTACAGCCCTTAACAAAATGTGGGCTGTGGGCTAGCCAGTTGTTCAGATATTTCTCAGATGTGACTTCTGGCCTTTCCCTTCTCTTAGAAACCAAATTCTAATTGATTTGTTCAAACTGGCGTTTGTTGCTGTGGGAGTTATCTCACTAAGTCTGTGGGACTTAATTTCTTGTACTGCTGGCCACTAGTAATAATCAAATGGTGTGCAGCCAGAATTCAGAAACAGCAAAGGCAGTCTGAACGCTGATGAAGCTGTGACTGTTAGAGGTTGATGAGTCTTGATCCTGTCTCTCCATGTTGAAGACACTTGAATGCTGTAGTACACACTATTTAAAGTCAGAAGTCCAATCATGGCTTTCACATAAGCTAGCTTCAGTCTTCTGACTGTAGTGTAGTTATTTTTTTTTAATGATGTTTTCTTTTTTCAGAGCCTCCACAGTTTGTCGTAAAGCCTCGTGATCAGGTAGCTGCATTGGGAAGAACAGTGACTTTCCAGTGTGAAGCAACTGGGAACCCTCAGCCAGCCATCTTTTGGCGGAGGGAGGGGAGTCAGGTAAAGCAGACCTCCTGCTCATTCTTTCTGGCACTTTCTTGAAGGGATATTATGCAAGTGAAAAATGCTTAAATTCTTGTATTTAGGTTGTGGAAAATGGCTCCAGAGCCTGCAGATGTTTGATATTTCTTCTCTACTTCTAAGGCACATGCTAATGTGCCTAATGCTACGTGATGTCAACTTTTCTATAAAGAATATCTGGGTTTTGTTTAGTCTCCAGTTTTCTCCATAAATGTAAAAATAAATTCATGAAGCAAGTAGAAATGTTCCGTGAAATAGAAATACATACCAGGAAGAAATTTCAAGAGACAAAAAGATTACTAATGCTAAAGTTTGCTTTAACTCCCATATACACCTAAATTTTTAGAAAATTTGGCTTATTATGGTGCAGATATTAGTTTGCCAGATACATATTTCAATCTGGTAAATAAATGGTTTGCTTTATCTTAATCATTACCTGAATAGGACAACAACTTGGAACTAAGGAGATCTGTTTTTCCAGAGTCCATTGGCTCACAGGTCTCACCTGAAGAGATCACTTTTTCTCCCAGCTTCCTTATTTGAATGTGAGGGAAAAATGATTTTCAGTTTCTTTGTAAAGAATCTTGAAAGCCATTGAATGAAATGAGATATAATGTATAGCAAAAGAATCACAGTTTTTTGTTGTTTTTTTTTTTAAGAAGGAATGTGATGAAAAATATTCTTTTTTTTTTGAATATGTCTCTTTAAATGCGTAAGTACAAAGCTAGTAAGCAAATTCAGAGGATAATCTCTAATTATATAAGTGTGCTGGTACAATTTACGTTTTTGTATGACCTAGATTTCTTTGCTAACAGTTGTTTAGTACATAATTTTTTTTTTACTTAATTTTCACTGCTCTGAGTGGTGACCACTTTTAGTGAATGGAGGAAATGGAGAAGGAGGTCAGTAGACTGGGGTTTGCTAATAATAAGGTAGATTAATAATAAAGTTTAGTGCACCATTCTTTCAGACGATTTTTGGAAATTCAAAATAAAGTTAAGCAAGGGAGATGAGAAGTAGCCTTGTTCAGCCAAAGGTATAAATTTTAAACCAATATTTGATTTAACAGACTTACTGTTTTGTTTGCAGTTTGATTTCAGACCATTGTTGGTAAAATACCATGCTCTTCATACCAAAACTATCCATCTAACTAGAAACTGGCTTAAGATTAAATTATGTATTACAAGGTTTGTTATGGAATATAGACACTATGATTACAGAAACCCAAGCAGCATCTCTTTAAAAAAAAAAAAAAAAAAACTGTCTTTGGAAGTTGAAAGCTATAATCCAAATAAGTAAACAAGTATTTGCATTTGAAATGCAATAAATGGAATATCCTCATTGAAACTCTAAAAAAGATGCTGAAGCAAATTTTTTAGGCTTGCCACAGTTGCTTGCACCATCGTGGCACCTGTACATACTAAGTCTTTGCTAGTGCCTATTAAAGTTTGTGTAAAGCCCAGTACTGACTACAGAGATTATTAGAGGAATCCCAGAAGACATACAAATGTGCATCTATTTTATCACCAAAAAATCTTTTAAAAGCTATTCTTGTTGTGTATAGTCACACTTAAGATATGAAGAGCAAAATGTTTTATGTATAATATGATTATTTATGTATATTTAAGATTATTGATGTTTGAATTTATTTAACACTTCCTTTTTAACTCTTTTTCCTCAACATCTTCTAGAATCTGCTTTTTTCATACCAGCCCCCTCAGTCATCCAGCCGATTTTCAGTGTCACAGACAGGAGACCTCACCATCACCAATGTCCAGAGATCTGATGTTGGATACTACATCTGCCAGACTTTAAACGTTGCAGGAAGCATCATAACAAAAGCCTACTTGGAAGTTACTGATGGTAATGATACCTTTTTTTTTTTTTTTTTTTTTTGTCATTTCCAAGTTTTTATTTTTATTTAAATATATCAGTGAGAGGATGTGGCACTATTTTAGTATCTGGTTTACAGAAACACATATTGCATGCATTTTTTGTTTGAGCCTAAAAATCCTGTTTGGGGTATCTCTGTCATGACTTTAGATTTTGGATATTGTGTTTTACCATTTTGTTGTGTAACAGCATATTTTATTTAATAAATATATTTCAGAGTATGGATTTTTGTCAGTTAATTTATCTTGCCTTTTTTTAAATCTTTCCCCAGTTAGGTTTGGCTTATTTTCGGATTTCTGTTGCCTAGCTCTTTAGCCCTTACTACTCCATGTCTCTTCACTTAGTATCTCCATTTATTTCACTTTTTTTCTTGTTCTAGTAAGGAAACAAATTCAGTCTGAATTGGGGTCAGTAGAACAACATACAAATGCGTATTATCATGCATTTCTTTATAGGGGGAGTTGGAACAAAAATTAAGAAGAAAAAGCTGCAGTGAACATTACTGCAAGTGTTAAATTCAGCTGTAGAACGTAGATCAGTCAGCAAGGTGGCTACTGGAAGTAGGAAAAGAGAGGCAAAGATACTGTGAAATTGGTGTAGGTCAATAATGAACAGCAGCATATCCATGTCATTTCTGGTGTGCATTTTTTAATACATTTTTGACATTTGGCATTATATTAACATCCTACCATGGATGATTATTGCTAGCCACTTTGTGAACTACTTATTTAGCATTAAATAGTATTAATAGTAAACCAAAGCATAAGTCCAAAGAAAAAACCTGTTGCTCAGAAAATTATTTGGAAAATTATATGCAGACTTCATGTACAGCCTCCTAGTATTTGAATCTACAAAGCTTTTTAGAAACTTGTCAAAGTTAGATATAAACTATGTGAGCTTAGTTTGGCTGACTCTGATGAGAAAGACAATAATGGCTTCACAGTGCCTTGCAGTGCATTACAACAGGTTGGGACAAGAAGTAAAAGGTAAGTTAAGCAATTAAAAATGTCAAGTGTCATTTGAACATGCAAATGAAATTACAGGAATTGGAACTTAGCCAAAAAAAAACAGTGCCAACACCCTGTATGAAAATAACCTAGAACTATCTGATGTTCCCAAATTCAGAATTTCAGGTTTATATTTCAGCAGCCAAACTGGCTTTTAAGTTATGCCAACCCCCAATGACACTGCTAGGCAGTTATGTTATTTAAAGTTAGGCTACTTTTGAATCGACAGCCCCTGTCATGTTGAATTGAACAAGTAAGAGGGGGTCACTCAATAATACAGGTTTTACTTCTTTTCTTGATTATCCATTGAATGATGGGGGAAAAAAAAAGTCATTCCTGTTTCAATGAATACTGAGATTACTTTATTGATACCTTTCTTTGCATAGTTATTAAATAACATATCAAGACCATTTCATTTCCATTGTGTGCAAGATGCACTAAAACTATTGCAAGCACATTGTGGGTTTCTCCTTATGGTTTTGAGCTAGCATTGCAGATGAAGTTGTAATAGAACTGGAAATCTGAAACTACTGAAAAATACTTCTTAGCAGAAAAGTTTTGATGTAGTACTTTTGTTAGCTTTGTGTTTAGTGTACTGGAAGGCATCTCCCAGTTAGGAAACAGCACAAAGATAAGTTGATGGTTCACAGTATTGAGGAAAAAAAAAAATCCTAGGTGTTTGCCAGTTTGTTCCATGTCTGCCTACTTCTTTAATCTCTATCATTGAATCTTGGAAGTATGAATTCTGTTGTACAGGTGTGCTGCATGGTAAAAAAATAAAAAAATAAAAAAATAAAAAATGAACAAGGTGAAAACTGTGCATTCCAAAAATTTGGGAAATCCTTTCTCATTTTGTTATCACTTTACAAAGATACTGCAATTACAGAATGCCTATGTAATATGTAATTCTTCTTTCCCTTCTGAAATTAATGTCTTGTGTATCATTATAAATTCTGTAGCTGTGCATCATTATGATGCACTATGCCCTGAATAATGCATGCCTCCAACTTTAATTACTTGTTTAATTATCTTTAGTTTGTTTCAAAGCCTCAAGCAACTGCTGTTGCTTAGATGATTAGAAAATTGCTTCCAGTCGCAGAAATCTATTTCCTGTTGTTTCTTCTGGCAGTGATTGCAGACCGGCCTCCCCCTGTCATTCGACAGGGTCCTGTGAATCAGACTGTAGCTGTAGACGGTATTTTAGTACTAAACTGTGTGGCCACAGGCACTTTAACACCTACTATCCTCTGGAAAAAGGATGGGACCCTGATCTCTACCCAGGACTCTCGCATCAAGCAGTTGGAGACAGGAGCATTACAGATCCGATATGCCAAGGTAGCTTGAACTGGTAAACCCTCTTTTGTGTAGAGTTTTGTTATTATCTGTTTTTTCTCTTCAGGTTACTTTTCATTTTGGAAATACTACATTTAAAATTAATGAAATATTAAGTAATTGTATTAAAGTATTTGATATTTTATGTTTTCAGATGGTTCATTCTTTAAGCTTTACACCATGGCTTTTGTATAGCCTAGGGCCTATTATTTTAAGTGGAAAAATGCTTTTAAGTAATAAGGGAATTATTTGTTACTGAAAACATGAAGGAAGAAGTAAAACTTGTACTTCAGTAAGATGAATGCTTATATTATTTGGATTTCATCACCAACAGATGAAAATGATCTAATTATTTCAAATGTTTATAAAGAAAGCCTCTGCTTAGCGTACTGTACTTATAGAGTATGTTCACAGTTTTTTCAATATAACTTTTCCAATCAAAACATATTTACTTGATAAACATAGTATAGCCCTGGCTTAAAATGGTTAATGCCTTTCACATACATGGCTTCGTAGGGAATTCTAGCAAGTTCCTGATCTTCCTGGTCAGTATTGCTGGTCATGCTTAGTGAAATGGAAAATACTTAAAAATGCTTTAAGTTTTTACCTACTAATTGTTATCTTCCATGTGATTTAAAATGTATTAATTCTTAAAATTAGGCCAAATACATGGCTTTATTATGTTTGCTAGACTTGTTCTGTTACCAATTACAAGTTACAGTGGTTGAGAGCAGGGTTGGTCTCTTCTCACTGGTGACAGGTGACAGGACAAGGGGAAATGACCTCAAGTTGCACCAGGGTAAGTTTAGGTTGGGTATCACAAAAAATAAAGGGTTGTTAAGCACTGGAATAGGCTCCCTGGGGAGGTGGTTGAGTCACCATCCCTGAATGTGTTTAAAAACCTTCTGGATATGGTGCTGAGGGACATGATTTAGAGGAGGATTGTTAGAGTTAGGGTAGTACGGTTAGGTCATGGTTAGACTTGATCTTGAAGGTCTTTTCCAATCTGAGCAATTCTATGATTCTATGAAGGGATCCAGAGCAGCAGTGAATCTGTAGCAATGCTGCCTTATGCTGTCTTCAGTTGTTTCTTGCACTGCCTTCTTGGTATAATGCATAGTGTTGAGGATGTTCAATAAATGAAATTTTAAATTTTAAGACAATTATCAAATTTATATTCATTATACCCTTTCTCTAACAAGAAAGGCCAAATATTATTCCAGGTCTTCTGAACAGCGTTCTCTGATTTTCCAGAGAAGACCCCTGCAAAGCACTTGGTTTGTCAGACCCTTGGTAAATGTTAGCCAAGAGTTATTGTTGCCTGACAGTGTAGAGCAGTATCTTGTGAGCATCCTACAAAGGTGGCATTCTCTTTCTGAGTCTTCAATAATTAAAATGCTGCTGTTTAATTAATCTCTACTTTCCCTCAGAAGTCATCATTAGGAAGAGTATTCTCAGTGCATGCGGCATGCAAACATCATCCAGTCTTTTATTCTCTATGGCTAAATGTCTAGAGCCTCATTGTTACAGAAAACTGTTAACTTGATGTTAGAGAACAATTGTTTCTGTTTCTTTTTGAAGACAAATATGAGTGTGATTTGAGATTTCACCTGAATGAGTAAATTAAAAGGACATAGCAACAGAAAGGGTTTATTATTTTAACATCCTATTACCAGAAATATCTCTCTATGAAGTATGAAGTTATAAACCTATAAATGGGTGCTGCTGTTCCTGCTCTGTGCGGTGGGATCCGTGCTAGGGTGCTGGCTGCTCTTCTGCATCTGCTCTGTCAGAGCCACAGGTGCATGTTGGGCAATGCGGGGCTGCTTCATGGGAGCTGCAGGTGCATGTTGGGCAGTGTGGGACTGCCCAGGCCTCACAGTTAGCTGATGTTGCTGCCAACATGGCCATGGCAAAACACTGGCTGAAATAATGCAGGGCAGCCCCAGCGTCCAGCAGCTCGGATTCTTGTGGGGGCTGGGCAAATGCCTGCCACACTGTGCGAGGTGTAAAAGTCGGTGCCTTGAAGGGCAGAGTGTTGAAAGCCAGAAGATCTGAAGCGGCACTCGAGATGGGACTGCTACTCGGTGGCAGCAGGGAGGGGGCCAGAGGCTGGCACTTTTCCCTTTTTGGTGCAGCAGCAGGCTCTGTTGGAGTTGCTGCATTGCCTGTTTGAGCTTGGGTAGGATCTTTCTTCAATTGTTTGGCTGGAGGAGGCCCCATGGGTGGCACTGTCTGTGTACCTGCTGTCAGTAGGCTCTTTGGCCCAGCAGCCGTTCCCTCCATGAGCTGGACATCTGGGCTGCTCCTTGGAGGCCCCTTGTTCAGTTCTTCCTGTGAGTTGGGGGCAGCCACAGCTCTTCTCTTTTGGGCAGTTTTGCGCTTGCAGAATTGCAGCAGCTCTGGGTGATCTTTCCTGAAGAATGCGTTGTAGTAGCAAAGTAACTGAAAATACAAAGTGAAGAGCTGTGATCAGTTTGGGACTGAAAGACAGCGAGGTACAGAAACTTCAACATGTAATGGATAAAGACATGGGTATTAAAATATCGATAAGTTTAAACTTACAGCTTAGGCTGACTAAAGCAAGATATGTTGAAGTAACAGACTCTTCATACCCTCATTTATTTATCTTTCTGTTCCGTGTGCTCTGACTCACTGGATAAAACCCAAATATATTTTTCCCACATTTCTAGTATTCAGTAATGTTGCCTCTAAAATTCCTGCAAACAGCCAGAGGAAGAAATTAGGATCAGAACGTTTACTGTCATCCCCATCTCCTCTGTTACTGAGGCTTATTTTATTGTAACCTCCATCTCTTCTACCAGAATATTATAAGAGTTGGTTCACGTGTGAAGGAACTGATGTACCTTCCTCTGAGCCACAAATGCCTCTTCCTCTGCCAGGAACTCAGGAAGCCATGGAGATCTTTTGGAGTCACGCTGCATTTTTGTGAATCCATACATATTAAGTTGACGAATAAAGCTTTTCATGCTTTCTGTCCCAAACGCTCTCAAAGATCCTTTCTTTCCCAAAACTTCAATCTGAAACATTTCTTGGTCAATTATAATGCAGTTTCCGATCTCACCCCACCAAATGCTCTTAAATTGGTGGCTTTCAACCAGTATCCAGAGTTTTTCAGGAAAAGTAGAGGCTATGGAGATAATGGTGCCTCTGCATGTGTTCTCCTCGTCAGAAGCATGAGGTGTATATATGATTTCCTCCTGATGAGGGTAACTTATTGCATCCTTTTCATCCATTTTTTGATGCCCAGGCTGTTCCTTTTTCCTGACCCAGATGACTAGAAGGAGAGCCTGGGGACACAGCTGGACCCTCTGGATCCAAATTGTCTGCAGAAATTCCTAATGCAGACAGCTCACTTTCAATGCCTACTGTCTCAGTCTGACTGTGATTTGCGCTCGCAGTCAGTTCTGCAGGGAGCTGCTCTTTGCCCTGCCAGCTGGCAAGTGAAATCCCACAGAACTGTTGAAGGGTTCCAGGGGGAGAGGCTCAAACGTCACCATGGTGCCCATGTGTCATCACAGTGACATCACTGTGCAGTGCTTATGGGCCCATCTGGTGCAGCAGCCAGAGCAGGCATTGCTGACCTGCCCTTGTTGCTGGTCCTGCACAGAGCCATGGGTATTTTCACTTGAGTCAAAGAGCAAATAAAACTGTACCTGAAAAGGATCACTCCTTGTCCAGACCTTGCATTCCCTTCCCTGTTTGGTCCCCTGAATCTCCCTTCTGGTGTCCCTTGGGTTCTTCAAATGAGAGTGGAAATCACCTTTAAGAGAAGAAAACAGCAATCTCTTCCCATTCTGTCACAATTTCTTGCAAATGCTCTTTTATTTCAATTGCACAGCTTCTGCAAGGGAGTAGCTGTGTGCACAGGCAATGCTCTGCCATGTCACCAGTCTCCGAGAAGCTGCTCTGTAGGTCCAGTAGAAAAAGATGCAAAGTACATTTTGCTGATCACATAAACAGGAGTTGTATAACACCTCGTTTCTTTTATTTGGCTTCTGTGTTTTTATTTGATGATTTTAGAAATTTAGAAAGCAGTCTCACAAAGTCAGTGATCTTCTTGAAAGCCATCTAAATTATGGTCCTCTCTACAGAATTAAGTGCCAAATAAGGCATCATTCAGAACTAAATGAGAATAACATATGAAGATATTTTTGGGCGGGAGTCTGCCTTAGAGTGAAATTTATACACAAAGAAACCAATAGATACAAGGCCTTGTGAAACATTTAAGCTTTGTTTTAAGAACAGCATTCTCTACAGTTCTTCAGTCCAGACAAGTCCCATGGCAGTATTTAGGCAGAAGATTGTATGGGAATCTTATCATCTAAGTTCCTTTTCAATTTGTTTCTTAAGAACTCTACAGAGTAAGGAATAAGTGCTACAAGACTCGGCCTTCAGCATGCTGATTTCAGAATGGGCAGTGTTAAACAAGGATATGCAACATTTCCCTTTTTTAAAGAATACTCAGAAACATACCCCTTTTCATTTTGTAGCACATAAAATTATTCCTTCTAATGTAAGAAGCTTGTCGTTCAAAGTTTTCTTCAGACTAAAAGATTTATTCATATTCATAGAGAAATGTACAGAGGTATAATTACTTTTCTAGCCCACTGAGTGCCTGGTTGTTTCAAATATTTATTCTTCTCTTTTCCTACTCAGCTGGGTGACACTGGTCGGTACACCTGCGTTGCTTCAACCCCAAGTGGCGAAGCTACATGGAGTGCTTACATAGAGGTCCAAGGTAAATCAATTATGTTCTCTGCATGGAGAAAATGCATAAAAGAAAGTCAAAAATTGAAATGCAGTCATTATCTGACTGTCATAAATTGCCAGTGCAGATGTGAATAGCATTTAGCTTACAGCTGCTTGCTGTCTATCTGTGCTCAGTATTTCTCTCTCCTTTGTTAGAATTTGGAGTCCCAGTGCAGCCACCAAGACCGACTGACCCAAACTTGATTCCTAGTGCTCCATCAAAACCCGAGGTTACAGATGTCAGCAGAAATACAGTAACATTGTCATGGCAACCTAATTTGAATTCAGGTGCAACGCCAACCTCTTACATAATTGAGGCCTTCAGGTATATGTGTCTCTTGTGATCTTGCTGTACTTAAGTTTGTATATAATATATTGTTAAAGAAGCACATGCTAACCTGTTGTTGTGTGTGTTTTATCCTTAGTCATGCATCTGGAAGCAGCTGGCAAACTGTAGCTGAAAATGTGAAAACAGAGAGTTTTGCAGTTAAGGGGCTAAAGCCTAGTGCAATTTATCTATTCCTTGTGAGGGCAGCTAATGCGTATGGATTAAGTGACCCAAGCCAAATATCTGATCCAGTGAAAACTCAAGGTAAGCTTTTGGTATTGAGCATTTTAGGTGTCCTCAGTCACTGCTACAGATTGACTGAGAAATACTAGATGCAGACATTTTGCTAGCTTTCGACTATCTGTGCTGACTGTGATACATGCTAGGTAGTGAAATACATTGTTTAAACTTGCGTTTCCCTATAACATAAACTCTAAAAGCTGCTTGGACAGCATATTGTGCTGACTAAGGGACCCATATTATCTCTTATCCAAAGATAGTTACGCCTTACAGAATAGCTCTTGTTAGCAACAAAAGTGATCTCTGATTTTTGAAGCTATCACACAAATCCTTAAATTCTATGAAAATGTTACTGTGTCCAGTGAACCAAATGAAGCTTAGAACTTAGAAGCAGTATATGATCTAATTTGGCTTCTGCAGAATTAGGAAAGAAAGAAATTTAAAATTTGAAGGAACTGGGCATTGTGAGCCAGGAAGGAAGAACTTTCAGCGGTATGTTGAAAGCATTGCAGTAGTACTGCTGTTGGAAACAATAGGGACGAGAGACAATGCTTACAGGTAGCCAGGTGAAAGACAGAACTGGGTAGTAGCTTCTGAAGAAGTCACCTGCTGACTGAAGCTACAGCTGAAGTGCGGCTATGGACTGAATCTATCTATGCAAAATTTTAAATAAATTCACATTCAGTGTAGAAAATAAATGTATTTAAGGTAGTGTTCGGGAAATAATTCTGTGCAACTTCAAGCAGAGAGAGCTGGAGCTGTTCAGCCTGGAGGAAGGGTCCAAAGAGACCTGAGAACAGCCTTTCAGTATCTTCAGGGGGGCTATAAAAAGAAGGGGCTAGACACTTTAGTGGGATTTGTTGTGATAGAACAAAGGGAGATAGTTTCAAACTAGAACAGAGGACATTTAGTAAAAAGTTTGTTATAATAACAATAGTGAAGCACTGGCACAGGTTGCCCAGAGAAATGTTGGATGTCCCATCCCAGGGGCAGGCTGGACAGGGCTCTGAGCAACCAGGCCTAGCTGTTGGTGTCCACATTCATTGCAAAAGAGTTGGACTAGATGACCTTTAAAGGTCCCTTCCAACTTGAATGATTCTGTGATGATTCTATGAATTTTGCAGCCTGAATTGTTCTAGTGCAAATATTTTCATTCTTAAATAGGAAAAAAAATAGAATTTATTCTTTTTCAAAGAAAAAGTAACAAAAGTCATCTTCCTTTTTTTTTTTCCTGCTTTAGTAGAGAATTTGATCCACTGGCTTATTAAGATGCTTGTGCTGTATGTTTATTTTTTTCTTTGCAGAAGTAAGCACATTTGTTTTTGGAAGGAAGTTCCTTAAAGGAAACAAAAAATCTTAATTTAGGAACTTTTCATTTGTTCTGGAGTTGGTCTGAAAGCAAATTTTTCTCCCATGGAGAGTGGGCAGTTTCATATTCCTACTGTTAGTTATTATGCATTTCTGCTTGGTAACAATTTCAGTGGATGGATAGGCAGTGTAGTTATAACTGCATAGAAGATAGGAATTACACAGGTTCCTAGGTGTGCCTCAAAGAACAGCATGTGTTACTGTGCAGGCAGGTGGGATTGCAGTGTTCTATACAGGTCAGTTTTTTATGCAGTGTCGCATTCCACAAGTTTTCAGTTTGAGCCAGTAAATTAGTTCAAAAATCTCCCAGTTAACTTCTGTTCATAGAAATTTATTGCCTTGTGTTAAATTCATGTGCAGATCAGGAATCTCACTTATCTCAGTCTTTAGACCTGACCAACATTAAAAAATGCTGAAGTGTTCTCACTCACAGTCCCTGTATTGGAAACTTCAGAGACTAACCAAGAAAACATAAAATAGATGATGTATATAGTTCTGTAGCAACTAAATTGCAAATTGCAACAGAATTGCAAATTGCAGAGTCTACTAATAGTTTTAGTCATATTATTAATGACTCGCCTTTTATAACTAGTAGTGAAAATATCACTAATTGCTGAACTGACTTTTCTGTAGCATTCCAAGCAAGTTGATATTTAGGCAACTCTCCAAGTAGAATTTTCTATCATTAATGCTTTCAAAGCATTAAAGAAATCATGCTCTGTTAAATGTTAGGCAGAACATAATAGATATAGCAGTAATATCGTGATGTTTCTTTGTTTTGTTTTGTTTTGTTTTGCATGCAACCAGCATTCCTTTCTAAGAGGCTAGTTTTGTCATTTACTGATTGCATGGTAATCTCAATTTGCTTTATTAACTTCAGAGAGATCTCATTGTTTTGCAGATATTTGAGGCAGCTGTGTGACAAGACTGCAAAGTGACATAAGTTTTATATGCCAAAATGGGAACTGTATTTTTGAGAAGTTGTCCTCACACTGATATTTCTTTAATGCAGCCTTACAAAATTTTTAATATTGTTTTGACAAGACTGAAAACTTAGAGTATAACTACCATGCAGAAAGGATGCTTTTCATCTTTTTCGTTTAATTGTAACAAGTACCTTTAAAATCAGCATCTAAAAAAACCTCAACTTTTAGGATACCTGCAAGGACTTACTGCAGTAGTTGTAATAGATATATACACAGTTTCTGTTTAGTCTCTCCTTTGCCTGTCTTGTGAGCAGACAGGTATTTACCAAGGTCTTCAGAGAACAGAATCCTTGAAGGTTTTCTAATCTTGCCTAATCACTAGAAGAGATCAGACAGAGAAAGTAGTAGGCTAGAGTAAAGTTTATGTAATGCATTACTCTGTATCTGGAATTGTATTAGGAAAAGAAAAATCAGTCTAAGTAAATTCACTGAATTCCCTAGTCTGTGATTTTAACTGTGGTCAGCATGGTATTTTCTAAAATGAAGTGATCAAAGGGAAACATATGAAATCAGTATAGAGACTGTGTTCCTCTGTTGTCTGTAGTACATGTATATTTGAGACACTCTGTTAGTCACTGCCCTATAAATTTTATATATGTCTAGGACAGTCATTAAATTTCAGCTAAGTATTCTTTTCAAAGGCACTGCATGCAGAAGTGTGTTTCCATTGTCCTGCTGCCTATTTTGAGAGGAAATTGTCCCTTCATGTGTATGGCCAATTCTTTTAGCTGACTAAATGCCAGTAGAGCAAGACAACACTCAGCTGTGCTCTGCCTTCTGTTTACAGAAGTCACCTCCTATCAGAGTGAAACTTCAGCTATGTGACTTGCTTTTAGTTTCTACAGTTTTTGTTTCTTTTGTAATTAAATAGTAAGTTTGCCAATTAATTTACCCGAAGGCAAAGCATTCACAATATAGCCCTTTCATATAGTTTTTGTGGTCTCTGTTGGAATGTGGAGTGGGCAATAGAAAATTTTCTCCTTCTGGAAGGAAAGAATAAAGAGATGCTGCTGTAGTCATTTTCCAAAGATCTCCATGAATGTGGTTCTTTCTTTTTATCCATCATTTCCCTCCTGTTTCTTCGTCCTATTTTTGTCAAAGAAAGTGCAGTACATTTATTTGATACCATTAACTCAGGAAAAGACTTTCTGTAGATTTTTCATACGTTTCTGGAAAGTACCTAAGATGAACTTAATTGTTGAAAACTTCCTATGTTTTACGATATATTTATTTGTATTTATATATACTTATTTTAATAATTACATGCTTGTGAGAATTGAATCTTAAATTATTACAGATGTTCCACCAACAAGTCAAGGTGTGGATCACAAGCAGGTGCAGAGAGAGCTAGGTGATGTCGTACTACATCTGCACAACCCTACTATCCTTTCTTCCTCCTCGATTGAAGTTCATTGGACAGTAAGTATAAATCGTCATCATAAAGGTAGTTACATGCATTGCTGAAGTGTGCTGTTTGACCACTGTGAAGTCACTCTTCAAGAAGCTGCATAGTTTTTAAAAAGCTGGCAATGTTTTCTTTGGAATAAGTTCTACTGGGGCTTTGTTTTCATACTTCATTGAACTTTGTGACATTATTGTATTTCTTGTCCCCATGGAGAATATTGCTTATAATATGGTGATAGTTCCCAATATATCCTCCTGGATACTAAAGAATCGATCTTAAGCTTTCTTAGGTTAAATCATTTGAAGCTTTTGCACTGCTTTCAGTAGAAAGTGTATTTAGTCCCCTAATGAGATAATACGGGTAATTCCCCATCTGTCAGATACCAGTAGAGGGAAATACCGCATAGTTATCTTTGAAAGTGTTTCTTCCATCCTGTTTATGTACTGAGAAACACACCCAAACCAAAATAGCCTCATCTGAATATACTATTCTTCCCACGGTGCTATGAATGCATGCAGTACAAGTAGAAGAGACATAAATAACAATTCAGAGGTGTTCTATTGGTGTTGTTCTGACGGGAGGAAAAAGGAAGTTGGTTGTGTGAAGAGTATAACAGGGAAATAGGAGAGTGAGAAAACAATATTGTAGAAGTCCTGAAGCAAGGGAAAGGATAACATACATGAAAAATATTCATGAAACTTTGGAGCCACAGTGAAGGAAAAATTATAAATGTCTTGCTATGGGAGACATTTGGTGATCAAAAGGTAGAAATGAAGAGAAAGAACAATATAGGAAATCTAAAGTAACAACCAACAAGAAAATAAAATTGAATGAAAAGAAGACCAGTTTTAAAATAGAATGCAGAATGAAGAAGAAAAATGGGAGAAAGTTACACTAGTGCAGGAATTTATCAAATGAGTTTGAGCTTTGAAATCTTTTCAGATCTTCCGTCTAAACATGTCAGTCTACTGGCAGTCAGAGCAGAGGATGTAGCCCCTGCCATGCCACAGCAGAACATTTTGAGTAAGAGCAATGACATTTTGACTCTGAAGAAGAGCCCTTGCCAAGTGGAGTCCTGGTCTATGACCAGGGCTCCTCAGTACTACAAGGTAGTATCTGCCGTGTTGCATCCACTTACCTGTGGTAAGGCCACCTGCACTGTGCTATTTCCTCTTTTAACTAATAACATTAAAATATCCTTGAGGCTCCTAGCACAATTTTGTTTGACCTTTACTTACAGAACAACCTTTTCCAGGCAGCCAGATTTTGTTAGTTTCTTGGGTGGCCTGTGGCTTCTCTGCAATTTTAAATGTAAGCATTACTTCACCTTTAGCTAGCACATGCATTCTTTATGTGCTTATTAAAAATGAAACTCTTTTTCTTTGAGTAAAATAACAAGCAAATAGTTTTATTATATCACCGTGTGAGATTTTTGAAAATAGGGAAAATCTGGTGCAGCTTTTTAAAGGTTTCTTATTGTTGTATTTGGAATTTCTTATTCATCAGAAATTGGAATTTGTTGTTAATGCTGCACAAGAGATAATTTCTGCAAGATAACTTTCTGCTGTGGTTACAGCCAAACACATTGAATCCTGTCCTAATTTATATGAAGGTTTCTTTCTCCATATATGCAGTATAAAATGGCCTTAGTTTAAATCAGTGGAGACTATATTTGATCTGTTTTTCCAAGTCTCATCCTTATTACCATATTGATTTTGTAAGCATCTTAAGAGCCCTCTTAAAACAGCCCCTTTCCTCCAGCAGAGGAGGCTCCTACTGAGTCAGTGAACACCGAGGAAGCACTTGGGCACATCTGCCCTTCAACACCTCCAGTCTCATCAGAGCAATGCGGATAGTGCCTGTTGGCTGCCCTTTTAAATCACTTACTCCAGAAGGAAGCATGCAGGAAGTAGTGCTCATTTCGTGAATTTTGAGAGGCTTCACACCTCAGGAGAGCTGGCACACTTGGCGCTTGATCTGTGTTCATCAGAGCCATTGATCCCCTGTCCTGATCCTCTTTCCTGCCCCATTCTGCAGAGCAGATTTGCATAGGCAAAGTCTATGCTGGGTTCCCCTGACTCCATTCATTCTGTCCATGAATGTAAAGGTGGTTCATTTCGCAGACCGAGGGTTATACAACTCTGCTATCCCCCTTTAATGCTTCCATAAATCCACTGAAACTGGTGCCATTCTACCATCATCAATATGACCGCTCTTTTGAATCAGGCCTGTACTTTGCTGTAATTCAAGGAGTCTGTATCATGTTCAGCATTGTTTATTTTGAGTAAAATAAATGGATAGACCAAGGACTAATGTTGTAGACAACATGCACAGTTCCTAATAGTTTAATAAATTATTCCTAATTGTTTAATACATTATTAAACAATGAGTTGTTGTAATGGGTGTCTTTCTGCTGTTTTTCCAGGTGGACCAGCAATCCCAGTATATTCAAGGATATAAAATCCTTTACCGGCCAACACCAGCATCCTATGGAGAGTCAGAATGGTTAATTTTTGAAGTGAGGACTCCAACCAAAAACAGCGTTATCATTCCAGAGCTGAAGAAAGGTGTAAACTATGAAATCAAGGCCCGCCCTTTTTTTAATGAGTTTCAAGGAGCAGATAGTGAAGTGAAATTTGCAAAAACCCTAGAAGAAGGCAAGTAGGAGCCAGACTGTCTTCATCTTTCCTTTTTGAAGTAGTATTCTGGCCTGCTTTTCTCTGATATGTTCGTTATTTGATTTTGTTTGAAGTGTGTGCTGTTTGAGAACAGCAGTCTGCAGCAGAGGAGACTGTGTTGGACTGATCATTAAGTGAATTGTTTGGTGACATCGAAGTAAATATTCAGAACCATGTGTGAGAGACAGAGAGAGAGAGAGGGATGTGCAAAACCCTCCTCCAACACACAATGGGAAATGTGCTTTTTATCTTCACTGCAGTGTGCACTCCTCCCTGCTGAGTTCATGGTCTGGTCACAAGTGACTTCTGTCAGATTCAAGCACTTACTAATCACTATCTTGAGTAGATAGCAGACACCGCAGAAATCATCAAAGCACTGTAGCTGAGGGAATGGAAACCACATTCTTAGAAGGCTTTTATATCTGCATCAATCAGTAATACAAAATGAAAAGATGCATGAGGGCAACAGATATAGTGGACTAAATTATGTATTTCCATCTCAAACGCATGCTAAAAAGAGAAGGTTCATAAAGCTGTTTCTTTTGTTGTAGCTCATCTGGTAGTTCAGGCATAATAAGTTTGTAAGGGGGCCAGTGCTTCAGAATAGAGATTTCAGTGCTTCTGCTGGGATGTGATACCTTTTTCCTTATCTCTTCACTACCTGGTATAAATACACTGTAGCTCTTGTTTACTTCTGTGGTTGGTTCAAGAGGTGTGCTTAATTGCATTCATCCCAAGCATCATCTAAGCATACTGTTTTTAGAAAGACTATTTAAAATTCAAAATACAAATCTGTTAAGCATAACACATTCAGTCCTGATTTTAATATGGTTTGTATTGCTCACTATTTTTCACACAGTAGAGCAGCTGAGGTTTAACATTCTGCTAGGATCAATTTACAGACTTCATCTTTCAATACTGTTGATCATGGCTGAGATGCTTTGAAACTCATTCAAGAATTCTGTCCTCAAGTCTGTGTTGTTCAGGTAATTGGTATCTGAGTTTGGAGAGGCCGGTGGCCTGCCTGACTTTTTCTATCTTACAGAGACAGCACAGCAGAAATTAGAAGCTTGCCTGTAAGTTCCTGTAGGTTCACATCACTTACCTTGTATACGAGGTAATATAGGTATACAGACTGATCTGTGGGCAAGAATTGCGCATAACAGAAACTAGGGAGTAAAATAATACATTTTTTTGTGGTACAGAAACCAGTTTTCCTTTAAAAAGAAAACTAAAACCCCTTACTGTTGCATTTGACAAACTTAACCATTCAATCTTTCTCCTCAAACAAACAGCGCCCAGTGCTCCACCTCAGAGTGTTTCAGTAACTAAAAATGATGGGAATGGGACTGCAATCGTAGTCACCTGGCAGCCACCCCCCGAGGATAACCAGAATGGAATGGTTCAAGAATATAAGGTAATACTCTCATATATCCCGTGGCAAAGTGTTGGCTGGGTTCCGATGGGTAAGTTGTTTGTGGATGCCTGGCTCCATCTACTGGGCAAAGCTAGAGCACATGGTTTGGAAAATGATTTCTTCGAAGAATCAAATTCTGTACTTAGTAATTCTGTCTAAATCGTAGAAAGCAATTAAAGCCACCTCTATAAATCAAAACAAAAGTTCAGCACTGATAGTTAAAATGACTACTTTCCCGCTTTTGTTATAAATTGAGAAATGCATAGACAAGCTGAGAGGGAATCCTACCTGTTAGAGAACCATTTTGTGACTCAAAGACATTGACTGCAATAATAAATATAAACAGGCCTAAGGAATTGAAAAGCTCAAGGATAATAACTAACAGTGTTAAGATGCGAGGAATTTATTTTTAACTGAGCAGTCAAATAGAAAATTTTCAAGTAAAGAATGCTCTTGTATAATACTAAATATAGCAAGTGTATAGAAATTTTCTTGTATTTTTCACAGAAGAAAGCTCTCATTAAGCTATATAATTTTTCAAAAATTATGAGTACATTATGAAATATTTACTTGTTGTTCATTTAGCAACATACACAGTATTTATTTCCAGTTCAAGTTGTTTTGAGATAATTTGCTTTACAAATTAACTGAAGCTTAGTTTTCCTAAGCAAGCTACAAACACTTTAAATATTTAGTTGTGTATTGGAAATAAACTTTTAATAGCCACTGAGTGGCAGGATCATCTATCTGTCTTGGCTCCTTTTTCAGGTGAGACACTGTAGTACAGACATGTGTGTCCCTTGCCTTAAAAACTCATTTGGCTATTTTGTTTTCCCTTAGTATTAATGGAAAAGGGAAGAGATCACTGCACTTCATGGTAAATTTAGAACAATAATACATCAGAACTTGGAACTTGGTGAACTGGTAAAAATAGAATGAGTCTGTGGCTTAGTTTCAGACATATAATGTAATTTGAAGAAAGAAAAAAAAAAGTATTTGCAAAATTATTTTATTTAATGAACCAGAAGGGTGGAACTATTTCCATAAAGAAACTGCATCAGAAGAATGCTAAGGTTGTAAGGACAAAACAATAAAATTCAGGAAATTCATATTTGTGAGTGAGTATAATACCTGACTTACCTCCCAGTATTCAAAGCTAATAAGCTGTCAGGTATTAGAGCAAACTGTCTTCTAGTGCTTCTGTAGCAGTAGGTGGCACACTGGCACATTTCTCCTACATTTATTGTAGGAGATGCCCTTATTTTCCATTGTGTTTTCTCACCATGGACAGAAAACAGACACAATGAATATATATATGTAGTTGTTATTTGAGCTGTATGTAGTTATCATTTTTCTCTAAAAATGTGAGGAAAAAAGTGATCTATGTGTAAGAACTTCTAACAAAAAAAAAAAAATCTTGTAAAATGTTCTTTTTTTTAAATTGACATTTTTCTATTTCACATTTTTCCCCTAAAAATGGGTGTGTGTGTTGGGGAGGGGGAATTCTTCAGTCTTCTAAGTACCTTGGTCTAAGGCAAGAGTGTATTTACTTAATTAAAAGATGAAACATGTATAAAGAAGGATACCATCTTAACTGGAGAAACGCCAGTATCACACAGAAAAAGCCAGAAATCAAACCATAGCAGAGGTTATTCCTAGCATGAAGTTAGAAATTCTCTTTATACTCTTTTTTTCTTCACTGATATGTCTGTTATAGTGTGAATTCCCCTCTGCTTCATAACATTCTGGAAATGAGTTTTCACTTGCCTGTTTAGATGTATAATCAATTATAGTACTGACAAGTACTGAACAACCTGATGTTTAACTTACCATTCCCAATTTGCAAATTTCCCCATTTGTTTGAGCACCTAAGAACAAAACACTTTTACAAGTAAGTAGTGCATAGTTGAAAGTACATCATATATTATTTTTGTTATTTACATATGCACTATTGTACAAGTGTAGTATTGTAGCAATTTCTGTGAAAATGACTCACGCCAAAATGCAGACTTCAATCTCATGTTCTTCACTTTATCAAGTTCTTATTTAAATCATAGCATTTTCTTAGACCATCCTTCAGAATTTAAGAACAATGTTATTAATAATTATATCTCCTTCTGACCGAAATAATCTGTATTTGATATCTGAATATAAAAGGAGTCTCTTCTGTTCTCTTTCTGTGCTCTGACCCGCTTTACAGAAGCAGTTCTGTATGCGCCGTGTTGGGATTCTATTTCAAAGGAGCTTAAAATACATTTCAGATCCCCACAGTGTCCCACTAGCCTTTTTTCAAACCTAGGCATCCGGAGAATGAAAAAGGGTCTTAGAGTGTCCTGATGGTGAAATAAAGAAAGTTTACAGTATCCAGGCAGAAAGGACTCCATGGAAAGTGCCCTAGCAATTGTTCTCCAAGTGAAACTCTAGCTCACTCACCTGACAATCTCTGCAACAGCAGAACTGCACAAGGGATTAAGAACAACTATCTGGGTAGTAAATCTTTTAAAAGCTCCATATGTCAAAAGCACGATCTTCCCTCCTGTGTACAGTCAGCACAGGTTCAGAAATGCTGACATTCCCAGGAAAGCTTGCTTCTCTACAAATAAGTTACTGAATTTAACTAAAAAAAATATTCAGTGTAGAGCAATACAGCTGTGAAAAAGGAATAGAAATCATCATTTTCTTAGGAGGCCTAAATTAGTTGCTATGCTACTTTTGATAGCAGTTGAGCGTTCAGCCATTCCCTTAAAAGCATTTGCCACACAAATACTGCAGTTTCCCAGTCATTTAATATGACTGAATATAGTAATGGATTTCTAAAATGGCAAATAAAAGTTTTTAGATTTGTGTTCTAGTTTCGATCAAAAAATGAGATTTGACATGATCCCATTGTCTCTCAATAGAAGATAGTATATTATTAATCCTCATCTCTCGCTGCCATATGTTCTTTAAAAAGGTAACCTTTTTATTCCAGCATGGTATCTGTTCTCCTCTGATGTCATGAAGAAAAGCACTTGAGTGAATAAAATCTTGCTTGATGAATGATTCCTTAATAAGAGAATTGCAAACTCATTTATCTGAATGCTCTTTGTTGTTTACGTGAATGATTTTTGGTTAAGGGGTTTCTCTTACTTGTTCCATGTTACTAATGCTTTTAGCTTTATTAGCAGCGTTGTCATGGATTGAATGAATTGGGATGAACTCAATCAAGTAATATTAGTATTTGGAGCTGTTCTTTGGAACAAGAAATAGCTTTCCAGTATTCAGAATTTCTACGACTCTGAACCATGACTGAAACTGATTTTAAAATAGTGACAGATTCTAAATCTTATCCAGCAGAAGGAAATGTGTCAACCTTCCTTCTAATGATCCTTCACTGTTTAATTTTTAATGTTTATACATACAATACACTTACTTCTCTGCAGGTTTGGTGCCTTGGCAATGAAAGTCGATACCACATAAACAAGACGGTAGATGGTTCCACCTTTTCTGTTGTCATCCCTTCCCTAGTACCAGGTATTCGATACAGCGTGGAAGTGGCAGCAAGTACTGGAGCAGGACCTGGAGTGAAAAGTGATCCCCAGTTTATCCAGTTAGGTAAGCCTGCTGGTAATCCTGTCTGTTTCAGTTATTTTTGTTTGTTTGCTTTTGTCCTTTATGGCATCAGAAATACTTTCAATTGAAATAAATAATGTTACCTGATCTCTGCATGGGCAGAGTTTGGCATTTCTTGTTTTAAACTTGTCTTGAAACTGCATTCTAAAGATAGGAGTATATCAGTGCAAATGTTTGATTCTTCAAATTCAGTATTGTTTCTTGGTTGCTGATTTTATCAAAGTGAAATTTCAAGCTTAATAATGGTGTAATAAAACATGTAGAGTAGTATGAATCCTTAAATGTTGGCTCACTTTAGTTCAGAGAGGTAATTTGTCTTGATCAGAATATTGATGCAAAAAAAAACAGGAGCTTGCTAGCATTAGAAAAAATAAATATCAGCTGTGTCTGGAAGCTCCCCAGTAGAGGAATAAAAGGTACCAGGTGATTTACAATTATCTTGACTTCCTAACTTAAGTTAATCTAAACATTCTGTCATAAATGCACATCAAGGACATTGCTTTTGGGTATACCTGGGAGAAAGGCTTCTTTTCTGTTGAATCACTGAAGAGCATTTAAAGTAATTTTAGGTATAGTCATATGCTGCTTTACCTACCTGATAAGGTAGTACCAGGCTACCTTATAATTACACCATATAGTATATATATAATCACAAAAAAAACCCTACATCTTTTGCTCTGGTCTTCATTTCTATATTTGTATCACTAGTAGACCTTCCCTGTTACTTGACTTTTTATTTAAAAACCACATAAATATTGCGTGTGAAAACAGGACTGAACAAGTAATATATTTGCTGTAAAATTACATGTACAAGCACTGCTCTGAAAGTAATGCCTCCTGCTTTATGATGTTGGCCCACAACATCAGAGGTGGATGTTGGTAATATGGCAGTAGAGGTTGAATCTTCCCACCAATATTCCTTTACATTTTGTGGCCATGTGACAGAAGGCAGCAGAGGAGCACTCTGACAAAATGGCATCTGACATGAAAGCTTGGATGAGACAAAGGTGTGTCACTGAGTCCTTCCTTCCATGTGGAAAAAAACGGAACGTTCTGACATTCACAGACGCTTGCTGAATGTTTTTGGAGACCAAAGAGTGAATGTGAGCACAGTGAGGCAGTGTGTGGTGTGCTTCAGCAGTATGACGCTGACATTGGATCACGTCAGCTGGTGCAGATTTTTGCGAATGCAGCACACAAGCTCTTCTTTATCACTGGTGAAAATGCATAGCGAATGGTGTCAAAAAATAGTGTTTTGTAGCTGAGAAATTGCTCTACTAAATAGTGTTATTGTGTTCTTTTAGTTGTTGTAGTTTCTGTGGAAATAAGTAGGAGGCATTGCTTTCGGAGTAACCTTATATATACTTCCCCAATTATTATCACCTATATATACTTCTCCAACTATTATCTTTAATTTGTTTGGCTTACACAGGCATATGATTAATAGAGATTTTAAGAAAAAATTGCATATGGTTTATGTAATCTTCCATTAATATGTCCAAAAAAAGTCATGGTTATTTGCTAGATTGTGCTTCTCTACAGTCAGTTTTCCATTCAAATTTAGGTTTGTTCTGTACAGTTAAGATTTAGAAAATCTAAGATTAATGAGTGTAAATTAAAAGGTAGACTAGAATTTCAAAGCCAAATTCCTTATGGCCACGTTTTTTTTTTTTCCTTTTCTCTGATGATAAGTAAATGTTAAATGAAGGTGAACTGTATAATGCAACTTAACCACTTTAGAGTTTTGGTAAATGGAAAAAGAAATAAATGATGTTCTGTCAGGGTTTTTTGCCAACTTTTCTGATGCTGGCCTTTACTGATACCATGTTAGAAAGCATGAGGCTTTCTCAGAGGCTGTTCAAATGCAGAAGTAAGCCTTTAGTCTGCTAAAAACCATATATTTCTAAGTGGCTGGGATTTGATTTCATATTTTTTTATTGCTTGCTTCTAAGTGGCATAGCCAAAACTACATATTCTGTAGGAAAAATGCCATAATTTGATTGTTACAGTTTCATGACAAAGATGTGGAAAGAAGAGACTTTGGGAGATCCATGTCACTGAAAACAATACAAAGGATTACCCAGACAGTTGTGCAATCCTTTAGACAACTGCAGGAGCTGCTGAAAATTAGTACTTTAACTTAAGAGGAATATTCTTTATTTGGTATAGATCAAGCTAAAATCCTCAAGGCATGTGAATGGCTCCAGTTTACTGAACACTACATTGTGGAAAGGGAATTCCAGTTCTCTTACAATTCCCGCAAAGACTTGCATTCTTAGCTGTTGGATGCAGTCCCAGCAGGGGCGTGGAGCAGACACTGCAGTTTTCTAGTAGCTCTTCTGAAGATAGAAAATTAGTTTGTTGATGTCATCAGTTGGCACCTTTCACCAGCAATAAATTACATGGTTATAGTGAGAGGGAAGTAAAGCCAGAGAGAGGGAGGAAAGGTGCTCCTTTTAGAAGGTTTGAAAGAGTCCTGACTCCCTATACCAACATGCTCTGAGAACTGCATGTTTGCCTTTAAGTTCCTACATTTTTCACTGATCCCAACTATTCATTCAGGAATTCTTTTCTGATATCTGAATTAGTATAATAGCTTTTTTTGTTTTGTTTTGTTTTGGAACTGTGAGTTCAGTGTGCAGAAAAGCACATTGTGGCCTTTCAGTACTTGAAGGGAACATACAAGCAGGATGGGGAAAGACTGTTTATGTGAGTGGATAGTAATAGGACAAGGAGGAATGGTTTTAAACTATGACAGGGGAGGTTTAGGTTAGATATTAGGAGGAAGTTTTTCACTCAGAGAGCGGTGTCCCACTGGAACAAAGGAGGTTGTGGATGCCTCATCCCTGGAGGCATTCGGGGCCAGACCGGATGGGGCTCTGGGCAGCCTGGTGTAGTGTTTGGCAACCCTGCACACAGCAGGGGGGTTGAAACTAGATGATTTTTGAGGTTCTTTTCAACCCAGGCAATGCTGTGATTCTGTGATTCTATGAAGCATGAGTCTGAATTGTGGCTGGCTTTGAAATGTCTGAAGAAGAGATTTAATGTGAGACTTTTTTTCCCCACTGTAACCTACTCTCTTACACACCAAACTCATTTTTGAGGCTGTGCACTATGCAGGTTGCTCACCAGTTTGTGACTGTTGTGAGCGATGGCTGGGCAGATTTCAGCCAGGTGTGTGAAAGGAGGAAGCTTCGCCTCCCATAGTCTGCCTTCCAGAACAAGAGGGGAGGAACAGAGAAATTGGATTCTCTGAGAGCTGAGGTGTGCAATCACAATACCATGCATCAGCTGAGCTGTGATAAGTGACCTTGTGCACACACTTAACCTGATACAAAGACAGGTACAAATTGTAAGCGCAGAGCTCTTCCATTTTCTGTGTCTCTACTGATGTGAGGCAGCTCACTGAGCTGCACTGCCAGAGACTCGAGTGCCTCCTGAGGCAAGCCAACAATATACTCTCTTGTTATCATATTCTGATGTTTAAAATCATGAAGTCAGCTGAAAAATCACGTGTCTCCTTAAAACACACTCTTTGGTTGCCATTAAATCTTCCTTAGAGTTTTTAAGTGGCCTTTTACAGCTTTCTGTTTATTTCAAGGCCTGGAAAATCATTTTTTGTTTGTTTGAAAAATTGGTATTTTACATAACAAAAAAGAAAGATCTTTGCCACTAAGGAAAAAAAAAGTGTACTTCATATCCACAGCTCACTGTAAATCCTCATGTTTCTCTGTGGAGAAAAAAAAAATCGTACTGAAAAAATTTGATAGGATATTTTTATTGTCACATGGATTACAAAATTGCCTTGTACAGAAAGATAAGAATTTTCACGTCAAACTGATCTCTAGCCTTACATCTGTCCAGTGATGTGATACCACCTATGACAGTGACTACCTTGCTTATGCTGCCATGGTGGAACTAGATGATCTTCAGGGTCCTTTCCAACCCAAGGTCATTCTGTGATTCAGTGATTCTCTAATATCTCAGTAATATAACATATGCTAGTTTTCAAGTAAGTCACGAAAAGGGAATATCCTGCAACATATTTTGCACAGGGTGCCAGTTCTGATAGACCTCACACCAGTTAATATGACTCATAAATGCATAATTCCTATTAATATATGTGATGCCATTATTTATTGAGATGTCTGTGGAAATTTTATAAATACTGAGTACATTATTCAACTATTGGATATCTCAGCATGCTATGGAAGTCTCATTGAATCATTACTCTAATTGTTTTGTTTAGAGATAATATTCTGTCAGCCCTTCAAGTAGTTCTGAAATGGTAGTTGCATGGTGGGTTTTGCTGATATCCCCTTTGGTAAAAGGAGATTTTTTTTCCTCACAGAGCAAGTCGTTCCACACCAACTTTTGGTTGACTCCTCACAAGCTGTGTGCTGTAGGACTGATTTACAAAAATGGTGTTTTTCCAATTTTAGAAATACGCATTACCAGAGAGGAGACAAAATAGCATTTTCTTAACTGGATTGTATTTTATTGTATAATTTTCATAATGTACCACACCACATGTATTTGAGGAAACATCAGACATCATGTTGCAGATTCCAAGTGTTTTGCTGGTTTTGAGTTGCTCAAATTACCAATGCCCACAAAAATGATATCTTCCTATTTCCTATTGTACATTTGTATACTAAATGAGACAGACATATTGGCAAGTACTATACTATATGTTGTACACATACAGGGCAAAATTGACATTACCTGCATACCTGTGAACCTGGAATTTCCTGTCTTTTTAAATCTTCACCGTTCCAATCTTAATTCTATATTAGTAATCTGTTCAGCATTTGACAACTTAAACATTGATTTTTACATTATTTACATGAATATTTTACATAGAGAATTAAAATTCACAGTTCTATGTGACATGAATTGTAATGAGTTTTCATTGAAGTCTGAAACTTGGAGCTTTGGCACAGTCAGAATCAGAGAGCCTGTAAGCAATAGCCAAATCAACATGCTCTGTGAGGTTCTTATCTCAAGGTAGAAGAAAAGGGGATGAGTCAGTGTGATAATATGCTGGTTTCAGGCAGTTATGGGATCAGCCTGCTCCAACAACTCTGAGGCCTTCTAAAGTACATTATAAGCTGTGGCAGTTGCTCTGACAGTAAGATGCACTTTGCCTTACAATCTTTATGTTTGCTTATTATTTTGGCATGTTTCCCTGAGGAGTGCAAGCAGGAACAGGAATGTTGATTATGAACTGTTTATATATCGGTCAAAGCTTCCAGAAATTTCTTAGGATGAAGAGAAAGTATTTTTTTCATTCGAGAGGTTTTTTCCAGATTGATCTCACATGGGACTGTGGCAAAGAGTGAAGTTGCCCTTCTCAAAGAAAGGCTTCCAAGACACTGTATGTGGAAATTATTAGTAATGGCAAGTTCACTAGGTCTTCTTTCCCTTGCTGTATATTTAGCTTGATTTCTATTTTTAAATCATAAGCGTGGTACATGGATTAAATGTGGCCTTTTGAAAGCCCTTCTTTCTTCTCTTCTACTGTGTTGTGTGTATGAATATACATGTACACATGCTCATTTTTCTTGTCACTATGTATGTAAGCATATAACAGTTAATTCAGTGTAAAGTCACTTGCAGTCTGCACGTATGCTGTGTAGTGTAAGCCTTGTTTCTTAACAGCAAATTTATTATGTTGTTATTATGCTTGCAATAGCTAGTAAAATAATACCATGGAATGATTCTTAGTTAAAAATTAGAAGAATGAGTGTTCAAAGAGATTCTTCAGTATTTTGTGATCTTCAGATATGCATTCACTGAGCAATGCAAAATGTTTGTGTATGAAGTTCCTGAATTTCTGTATGTTTGTACTATTGATATGTTTTAAAAACATCTTCATTTAGCTTTTAAGTTTTTTATTATTTTCTGGATTTATTGTTTTAAATATATATATTTAAAGGATTAGAGAAAAACATTTATCAATTTTCCAAATGTATTCAGGGACATAAGCTGTCTGGAAATATTTTTTTCTATTCCATTAAGAAGTACTAGTTGGAATAGCTTTTTAAAGATAGAGAAATAGTAGGGTCACTCATTTTGCAAACAGACTGGTGATGCAAGTTTTCATATCTTAATATGGCCTCAGCTGCAAAGAGACAAAAGATGAGAAACAGAGTGACAGTTTTAATTCATTAGTCACAGTATACTTTATATGTTTAAGCCCATCTGGCCACTTGCGTGGAACTTCGCTTGGCTGTCTCCATAAAATCTGATGCAACCCATCTTAACCTTGCACAAATAGGCATGAAATCTATAAACCCAGCAGACACAAAGAGTGTATTAGTAAGAAAAGAATGAGTCTGCTTGGTAAACTTTCAGACTAGCCAGTATGCTTCGGATCACAGAAGATAAAGGGGCTGGAAATATGAAATAAAATTTCCAATAAGGTAGCAGTCAAAGGCAGTGATGATTCCTTAGCCAAACAGATATATCACCGAAAATGAAATGTGAAATTCTTCACTGGAAAAGGGTTGTTATTAATTTAATCATTTCCCATTCATGAAGATATCCTTTTTCAGAGGAGGTTTTGGTTTTGTTTTCATTCCATATCCATTTTATATTGCTCTTTTTTAGTTATATAGTTATATTGTTAGTTTCTTTTGTATTGTTATTTTGTTTAGGCTTATTTTGGAACAATACAAGATGGGCTACAGAAATATAATCTAGTCACTTGTTAGTCCTTAGAGAAAATGTGATGGTTTTTAAGTGAACAGGTCTTCATATCATATGTAGTTTCTATTAATGTTACTTGTAACAATATCTTTCACCTAAAAACACTAATTTCTATTCTAGTATATGATGTCACTATCCACAATTTAAAAAAAAAAAAAAAACAACAAAAAAAAAAAACCCTTGTTGAATAAAACCTTGTTGAATTTACACAAAAATAAAAATGGGTTTTTCAAAGACTAAACATGGAATGTGTAAAGCAATATCCGCTCTGACTGACTAAAGGTTTCAAATTCTTGCCTGTGCAGTGATGAAATTTCCAGTGAGAACTCACTGTAGTGGTTAAGAAATCAAGAAGGCAGTATTTTATCTTTGAGTTGCTTCATTTCAGTTAGCATTTGTCAGTGACTGAATATTTTTACTAACGTTCCTAGAAGGTTCTTGCAAAAGTATAATGCAGAAAAAGAACAAAAGACTGATCATTGGTTGTGCTTTCACTACAGAGGAAAAAAAAAAAAAAAAAAAAAAAAGTGGAAAAAATACGCATTCATTATTTTAATTTGGGAATTTTAGGGATAAACAGTATTTGAAGAAGGCAGCATGTCCAGTAGCAATAAGACTACTTGACTATTATTAACAATTCAGAACTCCTTTTTAATCATCTTTGAGCTTTTTCAGTGGTGTTAAGTGAGCAGAACTGGTTATTTTGTACTTCTTTATAAACTCTTAAATATTCAGTCTTTTTTAATTGAAGTCAAAGTGGGAACCTGCAAAGAGTACATGGACTGTGTAATATGATATTTAAGTCATCTGTCAGGAACTGCTAAATTAAAATATATCCCTCAACATCAACATCAGGAGAATGTTCTTTGAATTTGTCTTTGTTTTGTGACTTTCTGTTATGGGATTGTATATATATGTAGTTGACTTCTGCGTTTACACAGAGCCCTAAGAACACACTAAGCTTGTTCTGTACTTGAGCTTTCGTCTATGTTTTTTTTTTTTGTCCTCTTGAATTTTCTGGGACTGTTTTTGTTTGCTAAAGTGAAAAAAAAAACCAACAATCCAGTGGTCTGATTTTAGCAATCACTACAAACAGAAGCCAGTAGAGCTGGAAGAATGGGTTGTATATTGAAAACAGATATTTCTGTCCAGACCTATAAGAAGAGATTTTGATGAGCAATCTTAAGCATATTGCCATGAAGAACTGGATACAGTCCTGTCAGTTCTTTTCGTGTTGCCTCTTGCATTTGCTCATTCAGATTAACTAGAGATTTGTGATGTCCTTTTTTTCAGATTCGCATGGAAATCCTGTATCTTCAGAAGATCAAGTCAGTTTAGCCCAGCAGATCTCTGACGTAGTAAAACAGCCTGCCTTTATCGCTGGAATCGGTGCAGCCTGTTGGATTATCCTCATGGTCTTCAGCATCTGGTTGTATCGCCACAGGAAGAAGCGAAATGGACTCACTAGTACTTATGCTGGTATCAGAAAAGGTGCCATACTATGTTTCAATCTCCAAGTTGCTGAATGCCTCTTTACTGGCAATTCATCATCGATCTCTTTCTCTTTTAAGATTTTATGCAGGATTTATCAAATTGGGCCAATGTTTTCAGGAAGTTTGAATAAGTAGCTTATGTAGAAAGCACTATTATTTACACAACATGTTGGCTTGACTTTAACTTGACTTTAAGGTATGAGCATTTAGAAAAATATCTAGACTAGCTTTTTGTAAAGGTAGTTGTACGAATGAGGAAAGTACAAGATGGATTTACGTCTGGGAGCTTCCAGTATGTCCTTACTACCCAACTTTCTGAACCATCTGAAAAGAAAGCAATTGGTTGGTTGCTTATTGTCCCTCTTATTCAGTCTTTTGCTTACTGCTAAGAATACTAACAGTGGTGTCGATTACAATGATGCTTCTGGTGTGTGTACTTGAATTTCCTTATATTCCTGGGAATGTGGTAAAAAGACTGTTTGTGAAAGCACAACAGTACATAGTGCTTTCCAAGACTCTTTCATAAATGCTCTCAAGGGACCCTTGTCTGGGACTGAATTCTGGGGCTATCAAATCTTGCATCTGCATTCAGTTACAAGGATAGCAGTGGGACTAACTTTAAAGCACTCTTAGTTTTCATGTTACCAGTACCTTTTATGTCAGATTGTTGGGCAAGCAGTGCTTTACATTATATTCCATGACAAACAAAAGTAGAATATCTACCTGAAAGATCTTCTGGAATAAAAAAAAAATCTCTCCTGATACAATAATCTTTTGATTAAGCCCTGAAGGTAAAGCTGAATTTAGTACGATGCACTTCATTACATCTCAAACCAATGCTTTGTAGGCACTTATGGAGTGAAAACCATAAATTCTGGAATTAATTAGAAAATGGAATGCTTTTGAAAGAATAGTGAGATTTTGCTTCAGTATTCGGCCATCAAAAAACAGACCTAGGCTGCAAAGGTGCGCATATCTCAGTGGACGAAGGGTGTCATGTGACTGCATTTTTTAGTCACTTCAAATTGAATAAATGATGGATGAGACAGGTAGGCAAATATAACACAATGTATTTAACAGTAACAGTGTGTTGCTATGAAAAAGAAGCAGTGTTAAAATTAGCAACTGAGTGAATGGGAACCTGAAAACATTTTTTTTTTTGGGGGGGGGGGGGGTGGGAGGGTGCAGTGTTCAGGTGCCCTCCATGCTTTTAAAATATCAATGCTTTGGGTAGCCTTTAGGCCAAGTGGTTTTATTGCAGTTGTGACCACAGAGATCAGGGACAAATTTAATTTTGTTCTTCTAGATTTTCTTAGATAAGACAGACTTCAATACTCTGCTGCATTGGCCTGCTCTGTTTTGTTTTACTAATAGCATGCTGCCATACTGCCTTTCTACAGTTCTATCAAACTAACATCACTGTGCTTTCAGCAGTACCTACAATTAAGCAAAAGGCATACAATTTGTCCTAAAAAACGGTCAATTTAATGGCATCAACTATTGCTCTAGTGCTTGAAACAGCTGTGTTGTTCAATATTTTCTAAAAAAATACCTTTTGTGTAATTTGGTGTGGATTTTTATAAAAACTCATGCCAAAAAAACAGGGTATACATCTCCATTATCAAGTATTCCTCAAGAAAAAAAAAATCCTCAAGAAAATATAAATTGCAAAGTAGTTTGCCACTCTGCAGTGCATCAAGTCATCACTTCAAGTGCAAACTTTTTTCAGTCTTGCATTTATTTGTTTATTTTTATGTTTAGCTTCAGTCCTGACATCTGCTAAAACTCCCACACACACATATTGTACTAGTACTCTTACACACTCAAACGAGTTTATTATTAGAAGCTCTGTGAATTAAGTTGTTCCTTTGTGTGGTTGCTGTAAAAAATTCATGTAGTTGAACCTCTGTTCCTCTGTTCTCTATTTCTTTAAAAACAAATCTAGGTTTATTACTCAGCTTACAGGCAAGTAGTGAGTCAGTAGTTTTAGATTTTTTTCATGCCCTTATGATTGCAAGTTAATTTTGAGACACTTGATTTCTTTTGAATAACTGTTTTTTAAATACACCTTCTGTTTTAATGAAAGCTTGTTATGACAGTTCTATATTGTTGAATGTAGCTAAATTAAAGTTGACCGTGTGAAAAGGCCTAGCTCAAAGAAAATGCAGTGGAACTCTCACAGTAAAGAGCTGTACTATAAATCAAGCCTGGATTAGGTATAATGCTTAAAGGTTCTTCTTTTTGCACTCTATCATACTCTTGGAAATAAATTGGATTGGAAAAAGCAGGGGGAACCTAGAACATTTCCTGAATTATAAAGCAAGACATTCTGGAGCCTACCCCCCCAACCTCATAGTTATTGCATAAACTGTAGTAAGTTATTGTTCTCTCAGCTAGAACCTTTTCTTTCTGTGATAGATTTGCTGATCAAATTCCATCTGAAATTTTCTTTTAGTGAATATTTTATTATTCCTCTTACACTGGTCTTTGTTTTTATTAGATCAAAAGGGGCAATATTAGCCTTTTTTTACCCATCAGTGGTACAAAAACTATACTGTCTTGTCAACAGGAGGGGGAGCATGTGCTAATAGGAAAAGCAGATGCTATCTCTCTGTATTTGGATTAAGGGCCCTATTGATCCAAAGAGGATTTATAGTGGCAGTGAGAGTGAAGATTGTCAAGCAGTGTCATTGTTCCATTGTTAACCTTTCCCTCCTAAAGCCATGGCTTGAAAGGTTGAAAGGTATTACATCCTTAAGGTAGATAATAACTGTTTAGCAATTTCTTCTATGAAAACAAAAATGAGTTGCTGCAGTAGGTTTTAGGGCTTTTTTTAAAAAAAGAAATGGTGCAATTCTTGATACAGTAAAGCAGAAGTTGTCTTTCTTCCTTTATATGTTTATTTTCTTACTTAATGCCTAAGTGTACCTGTTAGTTGAGCGTAATAGCATTTACTTGGTTCTCTTGGTAAGCTGCAGATAAAATTCAATGGGACCTTGATAAGGCTTTGTTAAGAATTTGTCATTCTGCTTTCTAAAATGATTAGCAGTGTAGGGTTTTTGTTTGTAGTAGGGTCTTCAGAAAAACTGAAGATACCAAACTGAAGGGTAGTCAGAGGCAAGACCACAGTCATTCCCTTCAGGAGCGCAGTGGAGTATCAAACTTTTTTCCAGTGGTGCCTGTGGAGACAATCTTTTGAATCACAAACTTAGTTCTACTTCTGTGTCAGTGTGACTGAACTTCTGGGTTAGTTATTTGCATTTGTTTTATGTTCAGCTGTCTGCTAGATTTATACTAATGTGGTATGTTTCCTTTTCTTTCTTCAGCTTAATAACCAGTTTGTATTTTGTTTTGATTTTTCAGTCCCGTCTTTTACCTTCACACCAACAGGTATATATTTGCACTTTTCCCCCCTTCTTTGTTACTCAGCATGTGTTCATGGTACTGTTTCTCCTTTTCTGGCATAACCAGCCCAGCTGTTAGGAAGTTTTTTAAAATAATTTCATTAATGACAAGTATCATAATGTTATTCTCTAAGTAGTCTATACTTGCTTTGTATCTGACACTTTTATTCCATTTCTGTGTACTATTTTATCATATACCATGTGCTGCAAGCACACCATTTTGTAGCATGCTTCTGTCAGTTTGTGCAACCTGAGCTCTCTCTTCTTGGCATTGCAATGAAGTAGTGTGGCCTCCTCCATCTAGTGATGTCAAAGGCACTTCTGATGGAGGAGAAATGACTTTGCAGAGCCTAGCTGCTGAGTTGTAAGGGATTACAACATTGGTAAAATGGGATTATATTTGCTGAAATAGTTTCCTATTATCTTTGCATTAAATCAGTATCCTAGGAGTTGCTTCTTTTAAAAAATACAGAAAATCAAAGCAAATTATCAGTTAAATTTCTTTGCTTGCTGCCTTAAAACATGTTTGTGCTACAAAATTACAAAGCAGTATTCCTGTTATACATGTTATATTTTGAATTTGGGGTGGGTTTAAAATCATCCTCTTTTTCTCTTTGCTTAAAAATGTATGAAATATGTCCATGACATAAATTGTGCCATAGACCACCACAGTCAGCGGGGGAGAGCCTTTCTGTTCTGTAGATGGGACCTTCAGTCAGCCTCACAGTCTGGGAGGTCAGCAGGTTCTCCTCTGCAGTGGAAACACTTCATCGCATTCACTACCCACCACTGTTGTATGTACATTCCTTTTAGCTACAAGCTGAGGGAATAGGCAGGTCATATCTTTCTCCTTTGTTCTAAATCACTTATTTTCACAAAATCCCTGTGTATATCTGGGGAGGGTAAAAGCCACTTAATTCCTTCTCTGCAAAATCAGCCAAAAGTATCTATCTTAAAATATTAGCTCAAAATTGCTGTACTGATTTGGCCCCTGGACAACAGCTGTGTTGCATCCTCCAGGTTGGACTGCAGCTGAAGCAAACTTATGTCTCTCTGCATTCCTTGACATAGACCTAGCAATAATTGGTTAAATTCTTATCCACATGCTTTTAATCACACTGAATAGTATCTTGTTGTAAAAGTCATCCTGTTATGTTCAGTGGATTTGCTTACTGTTCAGCATGCGTCAGAGTGGCCCCTAACGTTTCTGAAGTCCTTTGACATCCACAGTAGAGACTAATTCAAATTATTATTTTGCTGTTACTTAATTGGCTTAACAGCTTCTATTGCAGTCACAATTGTAGCATGCTACTGAAATTCTGCAGAGGTTGGTAGGTTAGCTAATATGCATTTTCTCAGCTGGGTTCTTAACATTAAAGGAAAATATACCACAGCTCCATAAGATATGTCAGAGCTGCAAAATAAATAGCACTGCAATTTTTAAAGAAATTGGAAAAACATGAACTATGGGAAACATTTAAAGGAAAAAAAATCCCTTTTCAATCCATGATTCTAGTCATGCGTCCTATTGACTTTAAATGGTACCAGACCTTCTTCTTTAGCATTACCTACAGTAAGATTTACCTGTAGAAAGCGTTCTACATTTTAATCCTGTTGTTGTAATCACTGCCAGCATTTATCTCTCTCTTGCAGACTCCCAGTTTGGAGTTCTTCTAAAGAGCAGAATTTGGCTGCTTTTCTTCAACACGTTCTTAGATGGGAAATGTTGAATCCATGAACATATGCAAGGAGGCAGTCTCCTTAACCCTTTGCCTAGTCCACTGCAAGCCTGCAAAACATATAGCACTGATTCTTCTGGGTGCATTACTTATAATAATTTCTTAACCATGATGCTTCCTGTGAAGGATATGCAGTGCTTGCCAAAAAAATAAAAGCATGTGCACATGCACTTAGTTAATGTGTAATGCTTATGAAGTAGCAAAAGCCATTCCTACTAATTTAGGAAGCAGTCTTTCTGCCAGTGATTTTTTAACAAGATTTATACATGTAAAGGTTTAGATAAAAAAAAAAAAAAAGCTATCATTATTAAATCCAATTGTAAAATGTTGTAAAACTCAAAGCTTCTGTGGACTTTTAGAGTAAACTTGTTCCAGGAGTAAAGTGCAGAAGCATTCAGAAAAACCATGTGTTTTTGTAGTAGTTTCAGCTGTAACGAGCCATTGTTTACATTGGAAGTAAAGTATGTTATAAAATCATGCTACCTCTTTTATCTTACCAAGAGAATAAGGTAGAGCAAAGCTTTAACATTTACTCATTCATGAAATAAATATATGACCTAAATTCTTCCACAGAGTAACTCCTCTGAAGTCAGCAGAGCTATGTTAAGGATAAGTTCGACCTGATGTATGGCTTCCTGCTTTCTTAAGCGATACGTGTGTTTGTTTGTGTTTTTCTGAATGGAACTGAAATATGAAACTTTCATGGAGCTAAGAGTAGCAATTATCAAGAAACAGAAGTATTATGTATAAACTTGCATTAGAAGGAGTGACTTTCAGGATGAAATTCTCAATTCATGTATAAACACTGTACATTTACTGTCTTAGCTGAAATGAAACAAAAGCAGGTTTAATACTACTGTTTAAGGAATCTTTTCCGCTTTTTAAATTATTTCATTTTTTATCTTTAAATATTACAGTAACCTATCAGAGAGGAGGAGATGCCGTAAGCAGTGGAGGCAGGTAATTACGTGCTTTGTTTTTAATGCTGTAAATTGTGTACAACAACCTTTAAAGATGCTGGGAGTACAGTTGTCCTTGTAAGTGGTGGCATAACAGCAATATGAAAAAATGCATTTTAATGTATAATATAAATGTATACGTTTGGACCATGTATTTTTCTGCTTAGAAAGAAGTGATCTTAGTTTCTAGATTGATTTCCAAAGAATGGGTCATGGGTATTTTTAGCTGAGTTGCTTTGTTAACCTGTAAAAGCTGCATCTCAAAAAAATGAGCAGCAGAGGGAGCACTTTAACTTCAAAATAGAGGTCTGATGGTGGTAGCTGATTGAAGGAGCAGAAGTAATTAAGTCGAGGCATTTATGAAGGTTGAGAAATATAGATGGTTCGCAAACACAACAGAGAAAAAAAAAAATTATTGGAAAATTTTTCTGAAGACACAAGTTGCTTGTTAGGTGACTTGCTGTCTATGCAAAACAGTTAAACCATCACTTGCAAGAAATCTGCACTGGAAGAGAGGGAAACAGGTAGGTTTTTAATTTAAAGCCTCCTTCTTAGAGAAGTAAGTCTATTCCAGATTTATGAGTTAACTAAAATATGTTTACTGGCTTTATGTTATTAGTTAGTGAATGGCAATGGACAAAACAGTGATTTATTTTTTCCACATAGAGATGGAGATATCCTCAGGACATAAAACAACAGTTTTAGCAAAAAAAAAAAAAAAAAAAAAAAAAAAAGCATGTCAGAGCAGTGTCACTTTATTAGCACACTTTTTTTTTCATTCTTTTTTTTCCTCTGGCATTTTCCATGCATACCCTTTTGTAAGCATTTGAGTTAAGGATTTGGCATGACACTGGAATAAACATTAAAATCTCGGAGAACAGCTGGGTGATAAATTCAATATCAATTCTTGTTTCACAAGTGGTATTTTGTTATTCCTAATTTGGAAGACCATACAAAAATTTGGTAATGGTAAAGATTAGGCATAAAATTAAACATTCCCAGTATGCTAGAATGCTATGCATATTAATCTGCTACTGCTACTGAATCTGGCACATTAAGAGCAACTGTGGATCTCTGTGTCCTGAACTGCATGCTGCTGTGTTGCTGTAGTCATAAAACCAAGGAGGAAAACCTCTAGAACGGTTACCATGCAATGTTTGAATGGACAAACCTGTAAATCACTGGGCTGCTGCCTTCACCCCAGGATAGTGAGAAAATAAGAGAGAGCAGATACAGACCATCTTTCCCTGACAAGGTTGTTCAGAAAGATACACAGTTAACAGCCTTTTGTGCTCTTTGTGCCACTGTGCTTTCGGCTCTTCCCATAGCATGAGGTAGACAAAGCACAGTCGCATAGATGCAGAGGGCAGAAATGAACCCAGAAGTGTCTACTTCGTGTGCAGTCATTTTATAGCTGCTGAAGAAGCAGCACTGGTTTTTACTGTCCTTGTTGTAAGGATCAGTGTCACAGTCTAGCACTGTAATTGGTTCAAGGTGCTAACATCTTTGCTTCTTTTGTCCATTCAAGTATATGGCATTTATAGAGCATCTGACATTGTACAGTATTTAGTAGAATATAAAAAACAATTCTGCTATATAAAATATCTTTGCTATATAAAAATCTTTACTCTGAATTTCATATTCAGTGCTTTCACTTCCCCACATTATATTCACAATGTTTTGGAAAGGTTTAGCCTTTTAGCCAAGTGCAGTTATACAAGCATGTTAAAGCAGTATTTAGAATTCAAAATATCACATTCAGCTATTTCAAAATAATGCATGTTTCAGTGGTGCTGAAAAAAAACCCACTTCTGTGGCAATCCCTCTTCCGGACAGAATTCAAGTAATAGTAATTAGAGTGGATTGACTCCAGCCAGCATCCAGGCACCCACACAGCTGCTTGCTTGTTCCACCCCACCACATACTAGGCCAGCATTTGAAGGATTCAAGTAATTCACTGCAGAGGTTAAAGATCTTTGGAAAAGATGATCTCCTATCTTGTACCAGGCCATGGAGCTGCAATGCAAACATCTCGGTCCACAGTTCCACCTAAATGGCTGCAGCAGAGTTTCCCCCTGCTTATATATCTCACAACACATTTCTTGCAGGACAACTTGTTTAAATACAAAGCAAATTTTAGCAGCAAAGGAGGTATCACCCTCTATACAGAAACCCAATGCACAAGCCTTGGAAGTGCTTAAACATTCTGGAAGGCTTTGTCTTCTCCAAATGCCTAGAGATATATTTTCACTAACAATTAGGGGGAAAAAAAAATAAAGGCAGGTTATTTCAAATTGGCTGGGCTGCTCATGGGACAACATAGTTGTACATTTATTTCAGATTTACAAAAAATATTTGTCTAATGCATGTGTATTTGCTGGTTTATTAGCCTGACAGTAAGTCATGCCTCATCACCTCCCATGTTAAATTGTCAGGTGACTTGTACTGTGAAGAAATATATTCACATATGGATGTATAGATGTTTTAAATGTCATTCTGAGATTGTGATTTAAGCCTGCAGCATTAGCAGACTATATCCTCCATAACAAACCACATGCAGTTTGTATTCTCAACTAGCGATTTCAGAGGTTAACATTTTATTTTTTACGAACATTTCCAGTGGTTCCATATGATCCATAACAATAGTAGTATCTGATAGTGATTAGTACCTGTCTTCATAAATTACCAAAAGTTTGTGACTATTCACTTGCAAATTTTTTGCAAATGAATCTTATTTCTCCATATCCATCTTACTTCCATGCTTGAGGTCTGTACTTATTTGTTTCAAATACCAATCCCCCTTTTTTCTTCCCTTGTTTTCTTTAAGAGATAAGGAGAAAAGATGCCAAGAAAAACGAAGTTCTTCCCTCCAACCACCCCCCCCAAAAAAAAAAAAAAAGAAAAGCCAATAAACCCAAAGTGTTACAGACATTTAAAGGGTGCACACAAACACAGATGTGCAGTTCAGCACTTCAGAATAGGAGACTATATAAAAAACTAGAAACAACTGTACCAAAGAATCAAGCTGTGTTTTTCAGTTCTTAAGCCCTTAAACTCAGAAGGTGGTAAGGTGCTGGCACAGGCTGCCCAGAGAAACTGTGGAAGGTGTTCATGGCCAGTTTGGGTGGGGCCCTGGGCAGCCTAAGCTGGTGAGGGATAGTCCTGCCCATGGCAGGGGAATTGGAAATAAATGATCTTTGAGGTCCCTTCCAACCCAAGCTATTCTGTAATTCTATGAAACATGTGGCATCGAACTTAATGTGAAGAATTAATTGCAGCTTGAAAATGTCTCTGTTTAGTTTCTGAAGTGACCAAACTTTGTTTCTAAAGGCCAGGACTCCTGAACATCAGTGAACCAGCCACGCAGCCCTGGCTAGCAGATACTTGGCCTAACACAGGGAACAATCACAATGACTGCTCCATCAACTGCTGCACCTCTGGCAACGGAAACAGTGATGGCAACCTTACAACATACAGTCGACCAGGTTAGATATGTTTCTACCTTGCTAAGGAACTTTCTTTACACAGTACATAAATACATAAAGTACAAAATACATGAGAACAGATTTACTTTTCTTTTTTATTTCCAACATGTTCACATTTAATGTAGTTTCATTCCACTATGTCATGATTATGCTTTCTGTCCATCTTTGAATCCTGATTTTTCCGTTCCCTTCGGTCCCCAGCCAGTCGTGTCAAAAACTGAAGGAGCCTTTGCAGTGTTCCATGTTACCAAAAGTTGCACTGAACATGTATGTTCTCACATCTGGCAAACAGAAGGCAACTTCATTTTGTTTTGTACATCTTTGTTAGTTGGCTGGAGAAGGACAAATACCAAAATGGTACCAGTGACATTTTCAACAAGTTTTGGGCATGTTGGGTAGAAAGAAAGAAAAATCTCTACAGTACTTGCCAGACACTCTTTGGCACATTAAGAACCTCCTTTGGAATTCCATTCTGTACAAAAGTGGGTAGCTGGTTTTCTATTTAGGATGTGTAAATAAAAATAAGTTAACTTCACTATCTGAAAGCAATTGTGAAATCTTACGTTAAAAGCTCAATCCCAGGATCTTGGGCAGGATTCAGAGTAGTCTTAAAGAAAACTTTGTGAGTGCAGTAGGAAGACAAAAGGAGAAAATTATCTGGAAGTACTATTTGTTATAGAATTTGTTTTACAAAGACCTGATAATCCTTTTGTTTTAACACAATCATTGTAACTGGTGAGAAATGAAAATGTATCTTTTCTGTATTGCCTACAGTCTGCGAGCATCTGTAGCTAATTTTTGCTAGGAACACTTCCTAGAATTTCTGAAAGGAAGTATGATTGCCTATAGTGAAGTTGCATAAGTGCAAAACAGCTTTACCTCCAGCATAATTAATGTGAAACCAGCCATAATGTGATAGTGGTAATTCATCTCCTGCTGTATCCTGTCTGACAGTGACCAGTGCCAGGTGCTTCAGGAGAAGGTGAAAGATTTTAACATTAGGGATTTGTGTTTTTTTCTGCCCGAGGATATTATGCCCACAAATAGCTATGTAAAGAGATTTCTGATAGAGACATGAGCCAGGAGTGTGCATTGGCAGCTATAAGGGCAAACCACATTTTGGAATGTATTAAACACAGCACAGCTAGCTTGTCAAAAGAGGAGATTCCTTGCTACATCTAGCATTGGTATGGCTTCACCTTGAATACTGTGTGCAATTCTTGGCTCTACCATATAAAAAGGATGTTAAGGTCCTTTGAAGTGTCCAGAGAAGGGCAACAAAACCAGTAACATGGCTGAAGGCATGTCCTGTGAGGAGAAGCTGAGGCTGTCTAGTTTAGAGAAGAGGCCAATAGGTGAACTCACTGCTCTCTGTAGCTCTGTGAGGAGAGGAGGCATGGGGCAGTGCTGAACCCTTCTCCTGGGAGCTGTGATGGGAACAGCACAGAGCTGCACTAGGGTAGGCTTGGGCTGGTCAGCAGGGAACATTTCTGTATCATGAAGTTAGTCAAGCTCTGTTACAGGCTTCTGAGAGAAGTGGTTGATGCCCTATGCCTGTCAGTGTTCAAGAGGCATTTGGACAGTGCCCTCGATATCATGCTTTAATTTTTGGCTTGCCCTGTGAGTCTAACTTTTGGCAGTTAGACTCAATGGTTTTTTATAGTTCCTTCCAGCTGGACTATTCTTTTCTGTTCTATTTGATTCTGTTCATCTCTTGTAGCAAACGCAAATGGCAGATTTGAGTAACTGAAACTTAACAAATTCAGTAAAGGAAGAGAATGACATTTCTGAGACTTGCAGACTGTTATAACAGCAGTTATAGCATCAGATACTCTCTTGATTTAGCTTTAGTATTAAGCTTGGTTGTGTTGCAAAGTGCTTCCTTCCTCTGAAGTAGAGATTGCAAACTTGGGGGTCAGACAAGTAGTTCCTAGTGATTCTTCTAACTTAACAGTATGGGAACTTGTTGTTCCAAAGGGAAATGCTACAAAAATGTCTAACAGGATAAATCTTCTGTTATAAAGGTGGGCCAGTTTTGTTTAAGTACTTTGTATGAGGAATTCTATTACATTTGTATTAAAATGTCTCTTCTGCATATATTGTATAGATTATATTGCCCTATACAAAAATCAGATGCAGTTGAAAGTGGAAGGAGGTGAGAATTTATGTCACAAGTGACTCTACAAGGATAATATACCAACACATAAACTATTGGGAATTAGGAATATATTGGATATATAATTGCCCAGTATAATACAATGCCCTTGGAAAGGAGAAATGACTTGTGTGGTCTCAGTAGGTGAGAGAAAAATCAGAAATGAAGACATTTAAGAAGAAAGAATCAGGAAGGAGAAGATTGTGAGACAATAAATAAATATCAACTCACATAAGAAAGGAAAATAAATCAAACAGTAAAACCTTCAAAAATACAAGCTGAAGGGTATGCAGTGTGCAATGAATAAATTGTATGTGGCATGTTCTGGTACTGTTCCTTAATCACTGTAAATGGGGATCACTGATTTTCTTCCTCAAATATTATTTTGTTCCTCTTTTCAGTAAATATTTCTCAAGAAAAATGTATGTGTTAGGGAATATTTTTGAAATTGAATGTCCTTTGTATTTAGAAGTTATTTCATGTAGTACAATAGTCAAATCCTGAATTCTGTACTTATTTTTACTTGACAACCTTTCTGGTAAAATAAATACAGCCTTCACAGGTAATGGACTTAAAGTTTCAATTCAAACACTTTAACATAAATGCTACATATTTTTAAAGATGAAAAGTATATTCCTGGTGATTGTTACATAATTATTGATGCATTAATCAGCTGGAAAATGATAATTCTTGTTTAATGATCATGGAATACTGTTTTCACTCAACCTTCTAAATGCCTATCCACAGACTGCATTACTCCATTCAGTATTCTTCTAAAAGACTGGTTAAGGAAAGGAAAAAAAAATTGCTGAACTACTGTCATAGAAGATAGAGAAGCTGGAAAGGCAGACACATTGATTCACACAGTAGTGGCCTCAGCATCAATGCACATTTGGTTAACATATGATTGTGATAAGTACTGATCTAATGATGCAATAACTATTAGAAGAATGAATTTATGCTATCTATGCAGTCTACATTTAGCACACCAGGACGGTGGTATCACTACGGCATTACCCTGAAGAATTCAAAGCAATTAGCAAAAATCCAGAGTGTTTTCCTGTCTTTTTGTTGTAAACCAACATACAATACTGTACAAGGAAAGAATGCTAAAATAAAGTTTTGCTGCTGGGTATTGAGTTACCTTTAACATTGTACTGTTTCCCTTCAATTCTGTTAACATGAAATCGTTTTTCAGTCTGTTTCGTAAAAATCTTTTGTATACAGTTTCTTATACTGATAGCAAAAGTCTAAATTCTGTTTATTCTGTGTTGATGCAAAATTACTGTCTCATAAAGTTATTGCCACTATAAAATTTGGGTTGATTTTTCCTTTGAATGAAAATTATCGCAGTGATTCAATGGATGCTCATACTGTCAATGTGGCCAACATAAGAAAAATAAAAATAAAAAAAAAGAAAGAAACAATGCTAAGGGAAAAAAAAAAAAAAAAAAGGAAAAAAAAAAGGTAAGTCATAGAAGATACAATTCAGTAGATCTCAATTTACAGTGAAACAGAAGAGACTTAATACTGTAAGTAATAACTTATGAGGTAAATTATATTCTATAAATTATTTAGTTAATTATAGTAGCTTGTGGTTATGAACCGTATAGTTTTGCACTGAAAAAAATTTAAAGGGAATTTCATTGAAAGTATAGCGTAAGCGAACAGAATGACCTTTTCTTTTTTCTTTCCTCTGTGGTTAGCCGATTGTATAGCAAATTACAACAATCAGCTGGACAACAAGCAGACAAACCTGATGTTGCCTGAGTCAACTGTATATGGTGACGTGGACCTAAGCAACAAAATCAATGAGATGAAAACCTTCAATAGTCCAAATCTAAAGGATGGAAGATTTGTCAGCCAACCCGGGCAGCCCACTCCTTATGCCACCACTCAACTCATCCAGTCAAATATCAGCAATAATGTTAACAATGGCAGCGGGGATACGAATGAGAAACACTGGAAACCCTCTGTTCAGCAAAAGCAAGAGGTTGCACCCATACAGTACAACATTATGGAGCAAAACAAATTAAACAAAGGTGAAGAGTTTTTAGCTTGTTTCTCCTCTTTAGGCGTCAGAGGAGTTTTGACCTTCTGGTGCTGGGAGTCTAAAGCTTTCAGGTTCAGCAGTTACAGTCTTCTGTGGTGCTTTTAGATGTCTCTCTCTTTAGGTTTAGAAATTGGCAGCTAACAGTGTCAGAAAGTTAATTAGCACCACAATAACCTTCAGATATTGAATTTATTATAACAAATAAGAAGTTGTATCTTTAGAAAAAAAATGTATAAAATATATTTCCTATGGATTTGAGATTAATAGTAGTGAAGGGATTGGTTAAGGCAGAGGCCACATATTTTATTCATAAGCCAGATGCATGGTAGTTACATTATACTCTACCTTAAATTTTAAATAGGTCAACCTACTCTTCCCAGTCGTGGATGGAGACTAATTAAATCTACATGTTCATGTAAATGAATGAAATTTTGCATATGAAACTCTGTAAAATTGTATTGTATTGTACACTGGGGACAGAAATGGAGCTATACAATTCATTTTAGACTTATTCCTAGCAAGCCTTCCATTCACATATTCAGAGGCAAAGCTACTGCACACAATTTTGGAAACTAAATTCCTTTGTTACCCTGACTGTAGTCTGTGGATCCAGAAGCTAAAAATAAATTGATTTCAGTGTTAACTTGAAACATCAGAATGTACCTTTGTGGCCTTGAGGGCATGTGGGAGTTAGAAGAAATAGGTATGTGATTTCTTGCTGGCCCTCTGGGCTACCATGCAACCTCTTTTAATAACCTGATTTGCAAAACAGTATCCCTAGGAACTGGACTCATTCTAACTTTGAGCTTCTTGCATGGATTGCTGTAACTCAAGTGGTCGCATAGTGATAACTTAAGCAGTAAAAAGATGCACTTCATTACAGGAATGTTGATTCCTCTACCAGACTTATCTGCTCACAGAGTTCAAAGGGTGATATAAAATGTGACACCTTCCCTTGACGTAAACATTTCAAAAGAAAATTCAATTTCTGTGGCTCTTTACTAGAGGGTGAAAGATGTATTTTTTTTTTTTTTTAATTTTTTTTTTTTTTTTTTTTTTTTTTGTAATTATGTTTTCTTTCATGAACTGTGTATTACATATCTGTTTCGGAATTAAAGTATGTTTTGGTTTTATAACCTGGAAGATACTGCATCTTTCAAACTGTGTATATTACAGCTGCATATTCTCTAGCATACTGTAGTGTGGAAGGCCCCCTTAAAGCATTGTCTGCTGACAGTCATATATACATATTTCAGAGTGTTGATTTACTGTTTATCCTCTGTGTAAACATATGCAGTATGTAGAGCTTCAGCGTGGTCTGTGGAATGCGGCTAGGCTGAGAAACTATTACAGAATACACTCTGGTGTGGAATTCATCATTTTGCTCTTTTTCCCATGCTTACATTATCACAAACATTTCTGCAGCAGATGGGGACTGGATTCTTAGTTTTGTTTATTTTTATTTTCTTTTGCCATTTTATGAGTCAGTATTCTGATCTTGGATTTCTCATTTCCTAAGACAAAACCATCTTGCTGACAATTATACCTACAGCTTTTGTGATGGGAAGTAACCATTTTGATGAGTTAAATGCTATGCTTCATCGTTGCTACTTTATGTCCAATGGTTCTGTTTATGATGCAGTTTTATTTGTCGTATGAAGAGTAACTCAGCTCCCTTATGTTCTCTGTAAATTATAAATACTTTTTGGCATGAAAGTACTGTTTTCTCAGACGAGCATTTTACTTCTGAAAAAGTTTTGGGGATCTGGTTGCTAAATCTCGATTTAAAAGTCATATATGTATCAAGTACTTTAGAAATGGAGAATGCGGATAGTGTCATGGCCATTGGCAAAAAAAGATCCCATGCATTGCTAGGATTTACATGAGCCAATATAAACAGAAATCTTCTTAGGGAGTAGTAGACCTTGAATGAAGACCTCCTCTGTTGTAAACCAAATTCAGTGGAGCTGCACTGTTGTTCCAGCAAACCATTCAGCCCTTGTCATACAGGACTGACTCCTCTGTGGGTTTGTCACCTTTGAAATACAAAAAGTAGCTACCATAGTCCACTGGCTGCCTCGTATGCATAAATTAAGCAGAGACCATGTAAAATCTATCAAGGTGACGATCCATTCATATGCAAAATGCCCACATAGATCTATATATCATTGCAGAGGCATTGCTACTATCCTGTGCATAGGATTTCATTTTACTTCATCTTTGCAATAGAGCTACTCCCATGATTTTCCTTAAAATTACAGAGACAACTTAAAAATAAATTGTCATTATAGAATGATTTTCCTTTCAAAAAAAAATCAATGTTTTCTTTTTTTCAGTATTTTCAGGAAATCTGCTTTGTGCTGTAAAGATGATTTGTCTCTAAAGAGTAGCATTAACTATACTATTAAACTTTCAGATTACCGAGTAAATGACAGCATTGCTCCAACAATTCCATACAACCAGTCATACGACCAGAATACAGGTGGATCTTACAACAGCTCAGATAGAGGCAGTAGCACATCTGGTGAGTATCTAAAATGTTTTCCAAATGTTGTGGTGTTTGGTCCTTCTAGCCATTGTTAGCACGTGTTACTGGACTTAAAGAAAGGATGAGACACAGGAAAATTATGTAGTACAGGGATGTTAAACAGCATGAAAACTGGTTCAATAGGTGCCTGCATTTTTGTTGCATTCCCATGATTGCTTGGTGCCATCTAAATGTACATTAGTTGATGGTTGAAAACTGTCAAAACTATGAAATCAAGTTGGATTTGGATCTCATAATACTCATACCCTACTGGCTAATGCTATGATCTCCAGATAGAAAAGTCATGACAATTATTTTAATTTATGTGTTAACTGTTGACTTCCTTATGCTGTACTGACTCCTTTTCCATCTGTGAGCTCTGTGCATTTGAGAGAATTTTACTGCCCAGAACAGTCTCAAGATACCCAAAGATTTTTTAACCAATCCCATAAACTTTAAAGAGCATTTATGTGTACAGCTATTTTTACACAATTCAGTCACTATATATCAAAATACTCTTGTACATCATTTAAATGTAGACAGCAAATAATTCAAGTCAAATTTTGTTTCTCCTAGGCATCTCGTATGCAAAACACTTAACAGTCCTTTGTAGAAATCTTGAAATGAAACTTAGATTTTTGCACCGGGGAACACTGACCAGGAAACTGAAACTGTGCTCTGGAGCAACAGAATATATTCAATTGCTATTGCATTGGCATTAACTGCTAAGTTTCAGCTTCTGTATTTAGGAGAGGGGTGGGAGATTTTCAGAGGCAAATCAGAACCACGCATAGGCTTGATCTGGTGCTTTACTGTAAGTCTGGTACTTACCTTATGTTTATCTCTATTGAGCTGATGATAGGCTGAGCTATGATCACAGTCATAGACTTGGTGGAGTTCTGCTAATGAAGGCTAGGGTTTTCCTTTTCACTTTCTATTCTGCTGTCTCCTTTGATAACCTTGTTGCCTTAATCCTACCCTGTGCTTTGTCTTAACCTATTATGACTGAGGGTGTGCCTGTGGATGAGTGGAATTCTCAATGGCTGAGGTGAGATGGATGAGCATAGCTCCTAGTTCTCCCATCTCTTCATGGTGTTCCTGTAGGAATCAGCCTTTCACCTGGGTCTGTAGCACAGGAATGTGGTGCTGAGTCTCTTCAATGGCTTTAAGATCTGAAATTCAGAATGAAACGTTTCAGTGTGTGAGCCCATGCATATTAAAAAAGAGAAGGTGAAATTCTCCATGCTGACACCTATTATGGTTATTCTAATGCTAAAAATTTATAGTCCTATACCACAGACTCCAGCGGGAATGAAGCAAGGTGACCAGAGTAATAAATTAATTGTGCTGAACTTAGTATATGTCACGGTGCTTAGGGAAGAGAATGCAGATGATGGTCGCCTTGGGATGCTTAAGGATCTTGCTTGACGTACAAGATACACCAGGAAAATAATTGCGCATAGCAAAAATATACTGATGTACTGATATCTGGCAGCTAGTGTGGGGCAACAATAGGCAGAACTACTGTATATAAGAATAGAAAAACTGAGGTAGCAGAAGTGAGAATAACAAGCTTCTTAAATCTCACTGCAACATATGTAATCTTGTGTCTAGGCTTAACTATGAAGGTATAAAACCATGTCGCAGTTGAAGAAGAAAACATATTTAAAAGTATGGTGATTTTATATGCAATTAAAGAAGTAACAGCAACAAAGAAGGAAAAAATGTATACAAAAGAACAATGGTAGAATCCCTTCTGATCATAACCATGTCCAAAGTTAAGATTCAAGACCACCTGAATAATTGTTCTTATTCAAAGTTGTTGGAATTGTTAAAGCTGCATTGTTCTATTATAAGCTATAATTTCCCAATTTCCCAGTAACGGTAGCTGAAAACATGTGAGCTCTACTTCATCGATCTTTGTTATTTTAGTTCTGCCAGCAATTATTTTCAACTGCACCTGCCATTTAGACTAAAACTGGTAATTTCATTGTGCCTAAAACATTTCAGTGGACAAGTACAAATTACATATATTCAGTGACTTAATGCAACAGTGGAACTTTAATAGATCATATCTGTATCATATTGTATTTTAGGTTCCAGCAATTAAATAATAGAAAGGCACTTTTGAAAATATGTCTACAGCTCATTTGTTTTAGATGATAATCTATAATGTAATTAATAGAAGTGGGAAGCTCATTCTTAATTACACTGCTTGTAAAATTATTTTATGGTTTTATTACATTTTGACTATTTATTAACAATTCTACTCTTGTATTCCATGTGGTTTTTTTCTATGCTATGTAAATTTTCTAGTTGAGTTCAACTACTCAAGAACATGGAGCAGTTCTACAAAGAATGTACAATAACAAACTGGCGTAAAAAGAAGGAATACCAGTTTATTCCAACTCATCACAACAGGAAATTCCTAGAAAATTAAAGAGAACATGGGACTATGTTTATTTTATTTTTCAAAGCACAGTGATTAGCAGTTATTTAAAAGCATTAAAAATATGTACTACTTTTTATTCACAGGGAGTCAAGGGCACAAGAAGGGTGCTCGGACTCCAAAAGCTCCCAAGCAAGCTGGCATGAACTGGGCAGATCTTCTTCCACCCCCTCCAGCACATCCACCTCCCCATAGCAATAGTGAAGATTACAGTCTTTCAGTGGATGAAAGGTAAGAAAGATGAACACATAATTCATTTCTACTTCTGATTGTTAGTTAATTGTAACAAAACTTGTTCTGCAAGCTGGCGTTGAGAGATTTCTTTCGTACCATTCTGATGCTGCTGATCAACTGGCTGTAGAATATCTATTTAAAGAGACTTAATGACAGTGGCATATACATCTAGTCAGTACATCTTTACTGAGCTGTTATCAAGTGCACATATAATAAGGATTTATTTTTTCCTGAGCTATTTATACATGTATCAAATATGCTAATTACACAGTAAAAATCCTGTAAAAGTAAAAGTCCTTATTTTCTTAAAAAAATAATTTTAGCTATGACCAAGAAATTCCATGTCCAGTCCCACCTGCAAGGATGTATCTGCAGCAAGATGAGCTAGAGGAAGAGGAAGAAGATGAGCGAGGTCCTACTCCACCTGTCCGAGGAGCAGCTTCCTCTCCAGCCGCAGTCTCCTATAGCCATCAGTCAACTGCCACTCTCACCCCTTCTCCCCAGGAAGAACTCCAGCCCATGTTACAGGACTGTCAGGAGGATCTGAGTCACATGCAACACCAACCTGAACGGAGGTGTGTCAATGCAAATGCAGTGAGGCAGATGTGACAAAAGCTATCTTGGCCCCACTGAAAATTCCTGTTGAATTTAGTGAGGCCAAGATTTTTCCCTTGATGTTTAATCTGTTAATATCTAACTTCTGATCCAGAATACTAGAACTATTTGTAACCTAAGAAATACATAATTAAGTTGCTTTATTATTATACCACAGAAAAAAATGCAGTATATCACTTTATGGTACGTGCTGTGCTGACACAAGTTAAATTCAAGTCATCAGGATATTAAAGTGGTATCGTTAACACAGCTTACCATATAATTACAGTTCCATTGTTTCCAATAGATTTACTGCATTATTACCATAAAATAGCATGCATTATTTCACAGTAACTGTGCAATTAACTTGTCATCCATATGTATGAATATATATAAATATATAATTTATATATCCTATAGATTTTCCTCCTCTCATAAATCCTAATACAGTAAATTACTGCTTGGAAAATTTTCTTAACATTTCCTCCTACCTCACTTAAAAGAATGACCAACTTTAATAAAGATAGATATTTGTTATAGGGAAATTTTGTTTCTTCTATGAGTTGCTTTTAGTGCAAACTACTTTGCATGTATACTCAGATTCTGTTCCATAAAACACTGAATTCCGAATGAGGCTTTGTATGTATAATACGTACTTGTCTTGCTTTTTGATAATATGATGCAGCTTTTGCATTTAAAATTATATTCCTTTTCTCCAGTGGTTTGCATATGTTGTTTATCATCATAAAGATACCAACCTAACTGTAATAATACTGTCATACTTTCTGTTTTGAGCAAACTACAGGCTTGTTGTGAGCAGACTGCAACTTTTGATTTTATTCCTATAGCTTACTGGACATTTATGGATGTATTTTACAGATATATGTATTTTTTTAAAGATAGTTCATTTTTTTGTATTTCCTTTTTTAAGTAAGCAGTAGTTATTAATATTCTTTTTTAATGGCTAACAACTGCTTTTATTTTTATTCCTTATTTCTGCTTTATCTATTTTCTTTTGTATCTCTTTTCTTTGTTTATTATGGTAACACTTCTTGTGTTGTTTATCTTTTTTTTTCCTCCATCTTCCTGAATTTTTATAACCACTCTTTTTATTTGTGGATTGCTAATAATATTTTCCCATAATTTTGAGCAATTCTAATATGTAAGAGCACAGAAGTGTTCATTTTAGCACTTCTGTCTGCAAGGATATTTAGAAGTTAAACTATTGGATGCTTAAAACAAAAATTGAAATACTAAGTAAGTGTCCTCATATTATGTGTTTTGGGAAGTAAGATACACTGAATGGAGTAGGCATTAGAGGATAATATGCAAACACACATAAACAAAAAGTTCTCTCAGTTTAATGACTCAAGGCAGGTCACTATAAATATCTTCAAAGTCACTGAAAAAAGTTGAGTTTCATGTTTCAAGATTATTATTTACTTACTGAATTGATGGAAAAAATAGAATGTCTTTATTCTGTTCTTTCCTGCAACGACTAAGCCTAGTTTTTCTGAAAGTCTTACCACTGTTAGTGGGTAAGTTTGACTTTACTTCTTTACTTCTTTAGACATTGTTTCTTTTCTTTTTGCTGTACCCATTGCATCACTTAAAAAAAAAAAGATTCATATAATTCCGTTACTTAATTGGCAAGTCCTTGGTGACTGTCTTTTGTATTTAATGGTGTTTATATGACCCATGGCATTGCTGTTTAATTGTTGGTTACGCTCAGCAGATGTAGCTCATTCTGGAAGGAAATCTCTGGTTTGAATATGGTATAACAATGCTTTCCAGTTAAAAATGCACTGAATGTTACCTGTCTGCACTGTTTTCATATTTTTTGCTAAGTGGTAGTTTCATAGTGAAAATTAATGCAAAAAATACTGGTTTCCATGCTTTTTATTAGCTTTGTAGTCCTGCTGAATTATTATCTGAATTTCTGGTGAAAACCAGATGGTGATGATTGTATACTGTGACATGTCTCTGTCTGATTAGCTTGATAAATTTTTAGCATACTGATTATGTTGTTTGGAAGAATGGACAAGTAGAGGAAAAACAAAAGATTAATGGGATAGCAGAAGATGTCAGTGTTTAAGATCAGAGACAATGTCAGTACTAAAGCAAGAACCACTGCATCAGATAAAGTGGACCAAGTATTGCAACTCCATATGCCCATGAACAGCTGCTCTCACTTAGTCTATCCTTGAAGGCTGACAGGCACACTGTATTCCAGAATGCTAACATATTTTGTGGTCAGTTGCCTGTCTAATAATACTAAAGCCTGGAGAACAGGAAGACTGGCAAGTATCTTGTGAGGACGGTTGTCACATGATCTTGAAATTAAGACATCTAAACTGTATTGAGTAAGGCCTCTACTTAAAGGCAAGTAGAACTTCACATGTTCTAATGGCTTCTGTTCTTTTTTTGTTCTATGAAATTGTTATTGGTAGATATCACAGAATCACAGAATCACAGAATTGTAGGGGTTGGAAGGGACCTCCTGAGATCATCGAGTCCAACCCCCCTGCCAAAGCAGGTTCCCTACACCAGGTAGCACAGGTAGGCATCCAGGCAGGTCTTGAACATCTCCAGAGAAGGAGACTCCACCACCTCCCTGGGCAGCCTGTTCCAGTGCTCCGTCACCCTCACTGTAAAGAAGTTCTTGCACATGTTTGTGCGGAACTTCCTATGCTGCAGTTTCCAGCCATTTCCCCTTGTCCTGTCTCCACTCACCACTGAAAAGAGTCCGGCCTCGCCATTCTGCCCCCCACACCTTAGATATTTATAGACCTGGATCAGGTCCCCTCTCAGTCTCCTTTTCTCAAGGCTGAACAGACCCAGTTCACTCAGCCTTTCCTCATAGGGGAAATATCTCTATCTTATATATCTCTATATTTTTCTTATATATCTCTAACTTGTCTTCATTACATATAGTATTTCTTACCAAAAATGGAAAGTAGTGTCTAGATAATGCAGTCCAGGGAGGTTGAAGCTTGTTCATGCTGCAAAGTATTATTTTTTTCCCTGCTGAATTGTCCTTTCAAAGTTAGTATTTCATTTATTGAAAGAAAAACAAAAGTCACCTGCAAAAAAGATCTTAGTTCACCAGCCATTCAGTGAGATAATACAGAAAATTTTCAAGAAAGGAAAAATAAGTGGAAATTATTGCAAAATGGACAGCAGTATAATTTCCTGGTAAGCAAAACCAACAGTCCAGCTATTGCAGTAGAAAGTATTTATTTCTTTGAGACAAATGGTAATTAAAGATCATGCCTGTGGCCCTGCAAAGAAAGCCTATTGTCAGTGATAATGCCTGGGACTTTAGAGAGAAGTTTTAAGTAAACAGAAAGCCAAAATAATTAAATCTAATACATTACTTCTTTAAGTTTCAGACATCATTGCTGATGATTCTCGAGCTCAAAATAAATTAACCACTTACCTGAATTTTGGTATCCTTAAGATGTAGCATTACAGTAGATTATTCTTTATTTATAATACCACATAGGCCAATTTGAAAAATAAGGAAACATCAGTATCTCTTTTGTTATCCCCCATTTATTACCTCATAGGGGCTTGGACTCGATGATCTCTGGAGGTCCCTTCCAACCCCCATAATTCTGTGATCTTTTTGAATCACTGAGGTGGGTGGAGGGAAGATGATGTTTTTTGAGCAATCTGTTTGGGTAGAGGTTTCAAGCTTCTAGTTGTAATATACTGACACTTTTGCTCTTACACTCAAGTATTCACAAATGATTTTTTTAATTAGTCACATAAACACCTCTTCCACTATCTGTACATGAATGATGTTAGGAAATGAGGAGTTTTATGCAACATAGGCTAATTTCCATTAAAATCAGTGCTGCATATTTTGATCAATTTAATCTCCTTTTTCCTCTAACTATGTTATATGACTTCAGTTCTTCTTACCTTTGTATTTTTATGCAGACGTCAGCCTGTGAGTCCTCCACCCCCTCCAAGGCCTATCTCTCCACCACATACCTATGGATATATCTCAGGGCCCTTGGTCTCTGACATGGATACTGACGCACCAGAAGAGGAAGAAGATGAGGCGGATATAGAGGTTGCTAAGATGCAGAATAGAAGACTCCTTTTGCGTGGCCTTGAGCAGACACCTGCCTCAAGTGTTGGTGATCTGGAGAGCTCTGTAACAGGGTCCATGATCAATGGCTGGGGTTCAGCTTCCGAAGAAGATAACATCTCAAGTGGGCGGTCTAGCGTTAGCTCTTCAGATGGATCATTTTTTACTGATGCAGATTTTGCACAGGCCGTTGCAGCAGCTGCAGAATATGCTGGCTTGAAAGTAGCCAGACGTCAAATGCAGGAAGCAGCAGGAGGTGAGTCTGTCCTGTATTTGAAAAGAGAAGGGGGAAAAAAGCTCCATTATGACATGTACTTATCCACAACCACTTACCCACTAAGTTCCTGTTCATGTATTTGGAAATTCAGGAAGAGAAGGAGGGGGAAATTCTCACTAGTGGAAGAGGCAATATGGGACTTTTGCTGGAGCTGTTCAAATAAATTGCAGCTCTGTATTTTTTCACATATGTAGTTCCTGTTTATTTTTGTCTTGTTGGTTGTTGCCAAACTTCAGCCCTGTTCATGGATTTCCAGCCAGAACTGAATGAGTCTAGCACAGTCTTGCCTAACTGTGCATGACTTAAAAGCTGTGGAGCAAAGTTTAGAAATCACTTCTTCACATAAAACTGCTTAATCAAAGGTAGTGTTATGTGTAAATATGAACATTTTTGTTATTATAATACTTTTTTTTCTCCAAGCTCACTGCTCTGATGACCATTCCTTAAGTCCCTGACACATTTTACATTCAAACGCTTCCTCTGGCATTGAATTATCTGAAAATTTACAGTTTCAAAAATATGACACCTTCATTATAACAAAGTGTGCCGTTACTCTTTTGGAAAAGTTTCCAGTCAGTTCTTTTCTAATAGGTACTGTTTTTGCTAAGGGATAATTTAAGAAAAATTACAAAATTATATCCTTTTCCCAGTGTAAGGCTCCAAGTATTTTCAGTCTGTCTTCATGAGAGATTTAATGTCTCTGTATTGAAATGTCTATATAAATACTAAACCTTCAGAGTCTTATTTTCCCTTCAATTGAAAATATTTGTAATTGTTTCCCATTTCATATTTAATTATTAACTTTTGGAGAATGCTATTCAACTCTTACTGCTGTATTATTGAGATGAACTGGCTTTGTGCTGATTTCATAACTTGACAGCTGTTATTAGTTACAGCTTAGATGATAGATTATGAATATGCGGGAAGAACTTTTTTTTTTCCTGAATCAGTGAAAAGATTAGTGTTTTGCTGTTGCTTTGCAACATACTGGTTATAGGCAATGCCGGCTTTATATAGGTAATCAGCAACTTGATTAGTTCTGATGAAAGTTGCCACAGTTAGCTAAGAAATAAGAATACTGCAGTATGTAATGCTAATTTCAAGCAGATCTTTGAATATTTTGTCAATCTATTGAATTGCTAAACCTTAAGTATTGAGGACCCTGTCATAACTGTGTCCACACTGACACGATAGATTTGCAGCATTCCTCTCTCATTTCTGATATCCTCTCTGAGTTAACAGTCCTTTGTTTCATTTCCACACAGCTGTTCATCATGAGGAGTGAGAGGGGAGGTAATTTAGTAATTCTGGATGAAATCCTGGCCAATTGAAGTAGGTGGCAAAACTCCCATTTGTACCCATGGAGCCAGGATTTAATATATTTTCTAGAAATGCATTCATGCAAATATATATGTGTGTGTGTGTAAATTTATATATTTAGAAAAGATTTTTTAACGTCTTGTTACTACTACATATAAATAATTTTACAACAGGCAAGTTCATGCAACAGTGACTTTTATGTACTGATATTACCTGTACCTGACTGCACATCCTGGAAACGTGACAATTCTTGCCTGAAAATAAGCTAGGATAAAATGCTAGTCATATATCCACAATGCATTCTTAGTAATTCACTCAAAGCTGTGGTGGGGCCATCTGTAGCTAAGTCCTGCTAGAGACTTGCTCTTTTGAAGGAAAATTCGCTGTGCCCAAGCCAGGGGAGGTGAAGCCCATTTTAAGAGTGAAACATTTTGTTACCTGTGTAAGCCTGCTGGGGTGTAAGCCTGCTGGGCTGGAAGCCTGTCTGTACTTGACTGCGTATGGCTCTTAGGCTCCTTGAGCAAGAGCTCCCATTACAAACCAGTTGGATAATTCATGTGGAACTAAGCCAGCCTGCCTATTAGTAGGATAGCAAATGTTTCTTTTTAGTTATGTCTTACTCTAAAACTGCTTACAGTAAGAATGAGAGTATTAACAGCATTATGACAGTATTTTTAAAGTGCTGTATAGGCAGCTAGCTCTTATGTGAAAAAAGAGAAGTGTGAAGCATCATATTTTGGATGAGAAAAATAATAGCTATTGTTCTGTAACAATTTTCAGGCCGTAGACATTTTCATGCATCACATTGTCCCAGACCCACCAGCCCTGTGTCTACTGACAGCAACATGAGTGCTGTTGTAATACAGAAGGTCCGACCTGCCAAAAAGCAAAAACACCAGCCAGGACATCTGCGCAGAGAAGTCTACACAGATGGTGAGTCCACTGAAACGGGTGAAAACGTCAGTGAACCTTTCTAACTACGCATTCAGTGTGTGTGTGTGTGAAATTTTTCCACAGAGATAACATTATGTTTCAGAATTCAGTGATTTGTGTTTCCTGTTGCTAAACACAGTGAACAGATTAATCATTTTAAATGTCGTAGTTCCTTAATCCTGTACATTGATGCTGCCACTCAAGAGCCTTGCACCTGTTTTCTGTAGTGTCCTAATCGGCTAATTACCATCATTATTTAGGAGCCCAGATAGCATAAATAGTACAGTCATTGAGAGTAATGTGTAGTTAGGATTAAAATCTTCATTCCCATGACTAAATATTAAAGCATCCGGAATGTTTTTGTTTTTTTTTTTCTAAAAAAAAAAAAAAGAAAGAAAAAAAAAACAAACAACCAACAAACAAACCAAAAAAACATTAGCCATTCAAATAGTGGACAACAGAAATCAATGAATCTTAATCCTGACTACAGCATTCTTGCAAGCAGTTACTTTATGAGTAGGAGCAAAATTTAATCATCTTCTCTCATGCCTTCACACACAATATCAACTCTTGCTGAAAGGGTAGTGCTTGTATTCCCTTGGGACCACAGAAGGATAATGCAAACATTGTGATGTTGTCTAGAGAGAGCCTTTAATGAAAATGCCTCAGGTGGTGCAACTTTTATTAAACCACTACCTTCCAGTTTTATAAAACAACCCAAGGGCTTTGTTGGAAATTCATGTTAGATAAATTCTCAAAGACTTAACCCATCTTGTCAAGTTTGCTAGATTTGCTAACTGGGGGAGGGGAAAGAAAGGCACCATTCCCCACCTCCTGGATCTCAGCAACAACAATCTGATTAGGACTTTCATTACCAGGCTGAATTTTTTCAAAGAGGGGCATCATTTGCCATTATCATATGAAAGCCTAATATTATAGATCCTTATCCAGGGTTACTAGAAGGGAGTTTTGAGCCACTTCTCCCTGTGATTCCTGCCACTTGACGACAAAATTTAATACAAAGCACCCAGCACGATGAGCAGAAGTAATTTAGCAATGAGTGGTTGTCCGTGCTATTATCTGTACTTTATCCTGAGTATTTTCTCTCACTAGCATATATCAGATATTAGACTGCATTAAATACTGGCATGACACAGTGCACCTGGGCCTCTTGGCTTATGCCCAGGCTCCTTCTGTTAGTGAGACTAAGCTGCTGGAATATTATCTGATTTCAAGAGGTTATTACAGTGGTTTTGTGCATGTTTGCTTCTGTGAAACGACAGCACAAGGTGTAAATCCCAAAACTGTTCCAGAAATGTTACATTTATTGCACTCCTGCAATGGCATTTTTTGCAAGCTTTTTAGTACATTTTATCAGTTTTTAATATCTTGAAAAGAATGTTCTTAACTGAGTAATTGGCTGAGCATCAAACCTTGCTATGAAAGCAACATACCAGAAATAAAATGTGGACAGGAGTTTTATTTGGCCATTTTCTTCTAATATGGGAATAAATAAAAGGAGGACCAGCATTTGATGACAGGTCTTTGAGAAAGTAATTATACAAAGTTAAGTCATAGAGCATTGTGATTAGATTTTGCAACAGATTTGACAATTGTGATCAATATTTGTTTTGTGTTGCATAGCACGTGCTTACTTCAGCGTATTTTCTAATTAGAGAATTTTTGCTAACCAGTTTGGTGTGCAATACTGTGTGGTCATACAGAAAAGCAAATTACAGCTTTAATTCCTGCAGGCGTAATCATAGATAATAAAACCCAGTTCAAAGGTTGAAGGGCTTTCTTTGGTTTTGTTTTCCTGTTGGTTTTGTTGTTGTTGTTGTTTTAACCTATATCAATTTACATAGTGTTTTACATGCTTGGAACCTTACTGAAGATTATAACTATTAGCTTTAATAGCTACAGCTATTAAATATACCGTCCCTGTAGAATAAGCTGTAAAATAACATCTACTAATTGTTTTTCTTATGTGCAAAAAAGTGATACAGAAATATGAGTGAAACATTTGAGCACAATTGACCTTTCCCAGATCAGCGTAGGCTTTTCTGCTGGCTTGATGCCACAGTGTTACTTATCCTTTGTATGAAGTATTACCTATTATGAAGACTTTGTTTTCTCGGTGGGTGAGCATGCATGTTTCTGGTAGAAGACAACTGCCATTGTTCATCTAAGCATTTATTGTTGGCCTCAGCAATAAATATTGAAAAGAGAAAAACACATTGCTTCATTATTTTCTCAACCTTTTAAATTGAATTTGCTTTCACAAGTAAAGAATTTTCTACTATTCCCAAAGAACCTGAATTAGTATCCCATAGCAGTTTGTTGAAATAGTTGTGTTGGAAAGAGTTTATGCAGTTAGTCAATGAAAAGGATTTATAAATAAATAAAGTGCCTGCAGTAACATTTGAAGAATATTATCAGCAGAGATGTACATATGTCATGTAAAATTCTATACGTTTTTTCGTTGCATAGCAAGATTTGGAAAAGAGGTTTGGTATTTCTGAAAGTGTGTTTGTTACTACTGTAGTCATACAAGGCCTACCACTAACCCTGTACAGATAATAGCAGTTTTGTAATCTCTGTTAGCATAAGTTGAAATCAGTTTCTCCTTTATGTGGAATGAAATTTTAGCTCAATCGCATTATTCTTTGATAGTCATCCAGGTGGTAAAATGTTCTCCATATTTCTTGCTAAAAAATCTTTGCTCTGTAGCTGGTAAGGATTAAAATGTATGATTTTTTTTTTTTTAATTGCTCTTTATCTGGCCTTTTGGAGTTAGTTACTAGAGGTGCATTACAAGAACCAGCCTTGTCTGACCTACTTACATATTTGATTTAAGAAAACCGAATTTTAAAGGAATATTTCTCTAAAACATTGTATATGAAAGTCACTTCTCAATTATGATAAATTCTTTCATCAGTAATGTCAATCCTTGGAATTGTAAGCATGTAGATTTTTAAAAAAAGGATAAAAGTCCTTTGTCATTGCTTAGGTTCAGTAGGTTTTTCAATATAAATGACACCACTGATGCTGTTCACATGAGATTTTAAATCCTGATTCTCTTGTAAATCTTTCAGTGTCAAAGGAAAAAAATATTAACATTTTCACAACCAACTGTTCAGGTCTGCAACTGAGATATTTATCTGTGCTGTCAATGACATGACATTAGGGCAGCTCATACAAGGCAACTGAATATTTACCTCATATTTACTCCATATTTACTTGGATTTTCACTTTGAAATGTAAGCCACTGTGCATGCCAACATCATTTGTACTTGTTTATAGCCTCTACCTGTGAAAAAATCTACCCTGCAAAAATTTCAGCAAGGTAAAAAATAAGTAGGAGTGCATTTCTTACCCCTGTAAAAAACATGCTTATTATTGAATAATAATAATTTTTAGATATCTGGTCTCTTTGTAGTCCTTACTAAATATACATTTGTTGGTGTTGATTTTGTTGCTGAGGGAGGTTTTATGGAGTGAAAACTAGTTTAATATAAAACGGTATGTAAATATACATACAAGTAAGAAAATCAAAATAACAGCAACCCACTGCTTGTGTACATCATAATGGGCGTCTATTTATTCACCCAGTTATTGTGTACATTTTGAGTCATATTTCCATAAGTAACTTCAATACATAAATAATACTAGCTGAGGTTATTACATATCTAAGAATCTGAAATGATCTTACAAAGTCAGGAAAAATCTTGAGTTTTGCATGCCTGCATTAATATGTAATAGAAAAAATCTGCTCCATCTTATCAAGTATTGCATCAAATGTATAACTACTGTTTTCTTCAGGATATGACTGTAGGAATCTACAGGTCTTTAGGAAGAGTTGTATAATAAGACCTACTTTCTTCGTTTAACACTATTTGCAATTATTTTTTTCTGCTTATTTATGATTTCTCCACTTCAGTTCAAAACTAGCTTAGTAGATTCTTCTTCCCTACTGTCTGTCTGCTTCTCCCATGATTTCTGCATCTGTTTTCATTTACAATCTTATTGAAAATAGTCATCCACCTTTCAAATGACACATATGGGAGGTTTCCCCTGCAGACTATGCATACTTTAAAATGGCATCCATTGTTTTTGCTAAGTGGGAAGCAGTACAACAATAATACAGAAACATGAATGAAGCATGTGTGTACTTCTGACCTTTAGCAAACATTTCTGAATTCTTTATATTGGTTTGACGTTGCTCTGTGATTTATTTTTTTATTCTTTACAGTGGAAACTTCCATTTTCCTTGTAAGAAGTGTGCCAGTTTGTACTAGAGGAGGCAGATTGAATCTAGATTTTCTCTGTGATCTGAGCTGTTAAAATAAATACCACAGGGGTGTAATAGTGTTGACCTTGGATTTTTTTTTTTATTTTTTTTTTTCCTCTGTACAGGATTCTTCTCAGTAAGGAGTACTCTGTTATAATGAAGATTTTTATAGTTTCCCTGCAGGTTGCAAAAATGTTCTCAAAAGAGAATATTACTTTTCTGTAGTTATTGTACTGTCGAGCTACTGATATTTTGTGAAGCTTTTTTTTTTATACTAGCGTGTCTTTCCTTTTTATGGTCAAGACTTAACGCCTCTTTGTTCATTGTCCTGTGTGGCTGGATAAGATTCTTGTATAAAGTAGTTTGTTCCAAATAATATTTTATAGGCAACACGAAATATGCTGATTCTTGCCTTTGGTATTAAGCCAGTGCACTGGCATGCCAAAACTGTTGGAGACTGGCTCCAAGAGTGACTGAAAATGTCGATATTAAGTCTCTAAACTTCCTTTATTATCAGAAGGGCAATTGAGTGTTTTTTTTAAAGTAATAAAGACAGTCAGTGGGGACTGTGAGACACAAAATGTTGCATGAAGTTCTGCTCTTCCAGAGGTATACAGTTCTGACTTAGAGATTTGTAGTTTGGGTATTTTTACCCACCTGGGATTCTGAGAAAAGATGTAGCGAGGAGGATGCTTTTCTGAGAGAAGAAAACAGTGTGTATTTCTTTGAGCTAAGGCAGATTTTATTGTTGTTGTTTTATTTTGTCCTAAGCAAGTTCTATAATCACTAAAAATATTCTCCAGAAGTGGTAAGGATGACATCCACAGCTTTGTTTGAGAGCAGTTACTGTGCTTGATATGCTTTGGCCTGGACTTGGTATGGTCTGATGCACTGGGCTCCCATGGAATGTATCACGTCCTATACTGGACAGAGTCCACACAGTCCTAGTTGTTGATTTACAACAGAATACATACTTCTTGAGACCAACATTTTTTGGAGCAGGTATCGACGCAGTGTGTACAGGGCTAGACAGCGCAGTGAATTTCATTTGGTTTGCTCTTCTGTGGCTAGAGTTCACAGGGCATTTCAATGCATAGTGGATGTAGACTGAGTGCTATTGTGATGTCTGGAGTTTTATTGCTAAAAACATTTAGGAAGTTGTGGATAACAAAGGAATGGATCATAACTGATTCCGTGCTTTCTTGCTCAAATCAGTTGTAGTTAATATTTGAGAAGTTAATGAATGAGAAGTTGCCTGCCTATTTTGTATTTATAATTCCTTCAGATGAAGAAGTACAGTACATTGCCCACAGATCTGTCTTGGTTCTTGCTTTATAGCCTAACAATTCACACTACTTAGATAAAATCATTTTGATTGATCCACTTAATACATCCAGGCTTCCAGGTAATTTACATTATGGCTGTTCAAGTTTTGGAAATGACTGGGTTTTCTCTTAAAAGCCCTCTGCAAACAGTGAGTGTTAAGCAGATACTTAAAAGTGCGGATATTCCATTGCTTAGTTTCAGTATTTTTTAAAATTAATGTTTGCCAAACTGTCAGAGTTTGATAAATAAACTACTCTGTAGTGTTTGCAAATATCATATGGCTTACTGTCCAACTTGTACATAGCTAATAGAAATAGATTGAAAGAAAATTCTTTATTTCTTGTAAAATGGATTTGGCACCTTATTCAAGTCAAATACTAAAACACAAAGAGGATTTTTTTGGTTTTTTGGTTGGTTTGGTTTTGTTTTGTTTTACCAAGATGGTGGAATTCATGCAGCAAGAATGACATTATGAATCTCATTTACCTACATCCAAACTGAGGGGAATAATTCTATGACATCTGTTTTCCTCATCATCTAAGTATGTCTAGCTGACAGTTGATAAAATATCTATTCTTACTTGTAACAGGTCAGAGGCAATTCCAAGTAACATCACTAGTGTAACACGGAGAATGCTAGTCAATTTGCATATAGCACTGAATTCTGTATTGCTGCACCTAATCAGCTTGGCCAGACCAAGTCATGTTTTGGTGTCACTGGAAAAAAATTTCTGTCATCTGTCGTATCCCAGTTTATACATATATGTTAAATTCTCTTTCTTATGCATGATTGCTGCATTTAGTCTTGGTTCAATTTAGTTAGTTTTCAGTTGAGATGCCCTCTTGAATAGACTGTGAATTAGCTGTAAGTATATATAGAGATGCTGTTTAAATACCGCAGCTGCTCCAAGATTTTTAAGGAAGTAGAAAGAATGAATGCACAGTTAGAAAAGGCTGAAGTAGTAATTTTTAATTAACAGAGCTGTTCATTTTTCTTAGCAATCTCATTTGTGAACATTAGCCTCAGAAACATCTTACCCTCCTCATGTTTTTCAACCTGTTTTATATCTGTGTGATTTGAAACTACAATTTTGTTCTGAACCACTTCAATATTGTCACTTCTTTGTTTTACTTTCCTTCACACTTTGTGTGCCACAGAGCACTATTATATCCAGATTAACTGTTTGTGCTTCCTAGATTTAGTACATTAATAGAAAATTAAAATGTGTGCCTTATAAATTCTGTTTAAAATTACATAAAATGTTAGAACTCTTTTAGCTGTACTAATTTAAGGGATAAACTGGAAAGAGTAGGTGTCTTTTTATTTTCTGATCTCGTTGAGAGGTTGTTACTTCTTTGATTGAATGTGGGGGGATTTATATCTCATGACATGCAAATGTCAAAAGTGTGCATGTTAAAATTAAGTCATTATCTTGAAAAAAGAATGCGGTAATTAAAGCAGTTTATCCCTACATGTATCAGCAGTGTCTGTACATTCTTTACCCCAGCTGACTTGTTTTAGCACTCAATATGTTGAAAACCATGAGGTATAGCAAAAGCTGTTGGTTTCTTGGATGAATTTTGCAAAAATGCTAAATATCATCAAATATAATAGCAGATATGCTGATATTAAAGTGCCTAAAGTTACTACAACTTTTTTTTGTAATTATTTTTAAGAAAATAAGATGATTTAAGAAGGTCTTTGCATTTTTAAAGGTTGATGTTTGGAAAAACAGCCATCAGCAGTTATAACAGTAATGTAATACTTCTTGAGGTTAAGAAAGAAGGACAGAGGGAGAGCTGAAAGTAAATAGAGCATCTATTTCTTCAGCAGACATCAAATATTATTTCTAATTTTACTAATGTGTGATGTCATTTTAATTATTATTCTTTTTCTAACTCTGTAGACTTGCCACCCCCTCCTGTGCCACCTCCCGCTATAAAATCACCAACCGCCCAGTCCAAATCTCAGCTGGAGGTGCGACCTGTCATGTTACCAAAACTGGCTTCTATAGAACCGAGGACAGACAGATCTGCAGAAAGAAAAGGAGTGAGCTACAAGGGGAGGGACGGGGTGGATGGGAGACAGCATTCGGACATGCGGACAAATTCAGGAGAGCGGAGAGAATCACAGGAACAGCAAGGTGATGGGAAACTGCGAGGAAGTAAAGCACCGAAACGAGAAGGCACACCAGCAAAAACTCATCTTCTTCAAGGTTATTTTGCATGCTGTGGGTTTAATGAAGCACTGCATTGTTGACTGTAGGGAAGAGGCTAACTCTTTCCAGGTCTCTCTCACACATACATGAATGAAGTTCTATCTACAGAGTTGCTAGCGTTTACCTTGTGTAAACACAAGCATTTAGCGTTTACACAGTGGTAATACAGATCATATTGCAGATTCTCACTAGAGTAAAATGCAACCAAGAGTTTATGAAAAACATAGCTTTTCTGTTTTGTACTCCTTATTCATCCATCATATCATCCATCATATCTTGAAGCTAACACTGATTGAAGCCCAAAAAGAAATACTCCTTGAAAGTCATAAGAATCAGTGTCCTAGTCTAGGATCAGAATCTAGCTGTATCTAATCTAAATTTACTCTAGTTTGTAGAGGAACTGGCTGAAGTGAGATAGTATGTCTGCAAGTCAAATATCTAATGTTTCTACCAAAAAGTTGGTGCTTGGCTCATTTTTCTTTAATTAAGGAGGAACGTGCCTTATCCTCTTTAAAAAATAAGAATGCCAGGGTATTGATGCATTAGATATAAGTAGTAAATGTCATGTATCAGATCTAATCAATCAAATCTCTTTTTCTGGAAGTTAGTAAGATTACAGGTAAGTAGAACAAGCATTCACTAAAGCTTTCAACACAGGTTCATACAAATGCGCTGGTCCTGTCTTCCTAAAAGCATGCAAGATCAGTATCAGGGATGACTAGGTAGTAAATTGGTTTAAAGGCTGCGCTAGTAACAGATTGTTACTGATTACAGAGGTTACCATCAGTAAAAGTTATTAGAATGTTGCTTTTTAGAATGACACTGAGACTTAAGAACATGCCTCTTTGTTTCAAACTCAGCATGGGAAATACGAAGTCTAATATTGAGATGCAGTGAACTTGTCGTTCCAGTGAAATAGCATGCATGTATTGTCATTTCCTCCTACTCAGTCATATTGAAAATATACTGCAAGGGTTGGTTTTTTTTCATTTTCTTAGAGAGCATTGCAGGGATCATAAATTGAAATGAAGTGGACATTAATCTTGAATTAGTTTTTTTGTGGTGAACGTTACTACGTGAATATTATAAATTTCCTCAAGAAAGCTTCTATAATGCTATTATGGAAACAGTGTATTTCATATTCCTGTCAGGTATCACTGTAAACCTACTGAGGATCATAAAAAGTAAAATAAATCAGCCATGTGCAAAAATTTTGAAATCACAATATCTCTGAGGTTGTAAACATAACAATGTGTCTATTTGATTATTCAGAGGACATCCTGCCATATTCTAGACCAACGTTTCCAACATCAAATAATCCCAGAGATCCCAGCTCCTCCAGCTCTATGTCTTCAAGAGGATCAGGAGGGAGACAGAGGGCAGATCAAGCAAATATAGCCCGAAGAAATGTTGCAGAAATGCAAGTTCTGGGAGCATATGAACAAGGAGAAGAAGAAGAAGATGAGATGGAGGTAACTGCAGTTGTACTACTGACCATAAATAGATCAAGTTTATTTTCTGTTCTTAGATGCCAAAAAGGAACTTTTCGACTCGAAATGTTCTCCTCAGAAAATCAGTCCCTTTACTGTCTATTAACAGCATGTGTAAACCCAGAAAATAATTTTTAAGAATGTGTCAGGAGCATAAAAGCAAGATGTTGCATGGAATAACTGTCTCCACACCAAAACTTATAGAACAGAACTTGCAGAAATAAAATATTTGAATGTACACTTTGCATTATTCAGGTTCATTCAAAAGTCAAAATTCAAAAGGCATTAATTCATCTATGAACACTGTGCCATTGCCCTTCACAGTGTTCGAAAGTTCCTACTTCTATGTTTTAGTAAATATGAAGACCTGTGAGCTTTTTCTTCCTTTTTTTTCCTGCTTCATGATATTAATTCAGTTTGAATCCTGACTGAAGAAGGAATGTGCAACATGCAGTCATAATGCCACACGCACTTAAAAGTAGTAATTATTGTTTAAAGTCAAATCTCTATAAAGTATGTAAAATAAACTCTAAATAATAGAATCTAGCTTATAGTCATTGATGTCTTTTTTTTTTCTTTCTTTCATACAGGAAACAGAAAGCTGAAGACAGCAACATGTACTGTAACAGGCTTTTGAAATCTAATCAGAAAAAAAAAATCACTTAAGATGCCTCAAGTCTGATGATGTTTGACGCCAGAAATAATGTTCAGTGCAATCAGAGTGTACAATTTTTAATTTTTTTTCATGCCATCAGAATGCTAGTTTTTACTTTATTCTTTCTTTGTAAACCCTCATTATTAGGAACAGCTCTTGCTTTTTCCAGGATGTTTCATCACCTTCGCTGCCCAAGAAGGCAGGTAAGCTGCTCTTCATGGTACGTAGGTCAGCTGCTGCTTCAGGATTTGAGCAGAAGCCTGGGATCCCCAGATTCCTCCCCTGACAGTCAGTGCTCAGTGCACTGCTGGTACATCAACGAGCCAATTGATAGCCTAACAAGTAATACAGCGTTGATTGAAAACTTCCACAAAGTGAATATTGTGGAGAGCATTATTTTATTCTAAGGATTTTACTGTAGTCTGCTGTTAGTCAAATGGCATCTTGCAATTTCAATACAGACTATGTATCTTGTTTTTTTGACAGTCTCTTGCTAACTTTCTGCAGCAGATACAGTTTTACAAATACAAATGATAGCAATTCAGGACGAGGTGGCTCTTATTGTAAATACGTACTCATTTTAAATCCCCTGTGGTACTTTGTCTTTCCATTTTCAACGTTAAGTACATTCTTATTAAAAATGTCCCTTGGGATGGACAGGAGGTAAGGCAGTATGAATGCTGTTCATCATGGCATGTGCAAGTTTATTGGAAACGTTTTCTAATTCTCAGCCTCAATAGTGCTAATGAAAGTAAGCAAGAAAAGCAATGGACATTTTTAATAAAGATTGGATAGTATCATTAACTGTTACTGGCCCAAATCTCAGACCTCTACTTGTGTCAATTCACCTTAAAGAAGTGCCACTTAAACAAGTTTCATTTGATCTTGGCGGTTATGTTTTTTGTAATGCACTGCTTATCTTTTTTTTTTTTTTTTTTTTTTTTTGGTTTTAAAAGCACAATCACTAAACTTTGTTTGTAAACCATTGTAACTATTAACCTTTTTTTTTTTTTTTTTGTCTTATTGAAAATGTTAAGCATTTCTTTGGGATACTTTTTGTTTTTTTGTTAATGCTCTATGTCTGTATTGGGAATATTTGAATGATGACAGATGGTAAAGTAACAAACCTAAACATGGGCCATAATCAGAACGCTTCTCACTTTTCCTGAACTTACAGAAAATTCTCAGTTTTGTTGTGGCCTCTCAACATTGGATTATCAATAAAGCTGAAATAGAGGCATTAGTTGCATCGGATTTGCCAAATGATGTCCTCTGTCTGTAGAATTTATGACCTTTTTTTGTAATTATAAAATTTCTCTGTCATTGGTGCTAATGGAAAAATATGTGTTTGTTTATTGACAACTATCAGGACTAGCCCCAATGGAAAAAAAAAAAAAAGAAAAAGAAAAAAAAAAAAAAGTGTTTTGGTGTTTACCGAGGACTGAAATTTTTCATTTAGCTAATTTTTAAAGAAAGGTTACATAGAAAGGATGTGCAGTACTAAAGGAACAATCCATGTGATTAATGTTTTCATTACGTTCATGTAAGAAACCTCATATTTTAGCCATAATTTTGCATACTGAGGATCCAATAATCAGAAAAGTAATTTTTGTCACATTATTTATTAAAAATGTTCTCAAATACATTCTTTTTCTTGCGTAGTTTCTTGTGTTCCCTGATGCTTAATTTTAGTGTCAATTCTGACTTTTTTTCTAATGATGTGAATCAGAATATATTCCACTGAAATTGTGCAGGTTACAGTAGCATGAGCAGAGTAGGAGAGCTGGATGCAGCGTAAGATTTCACATAATTACAATTGATTACCTTCAAGATCTGATTTCTTGGTGCTTCATGAACTGTGATAACTAAAATGTCCCTTAGCCTGCCAATTTCCAGAGGGAGCTGGTGAAGAAAATCTGTACCAACAAAAGCATTCACCTCAGGGGCGTGATACATTAGTTACAGAGGAAATAAGATCCAAAAATGTAAAGGGAAGGGATATTATGAGTCATGTTTTTGTTGGAGGTCTGCACGAATACAAGTTTTCTTAACAGCCTGCTGTGGCTCATGATCAAATAGGTAATGTACCCTTTTCCACTCTTGCATTTTCATAACCCCATTCTTGCTTTTTCTTTCTGTACCCCATTATTCCACCAAAATTTGGAAAGAAGAAAGCACTTTGCATGAAAAAAGAAAAAAAAAAACAAACCACAAAACAAAAAAACCTTTTTTTTCATTCAGTGCAACCTTTTTGCTCTTCATCATTTTCACTTCCATATTTCTTCTTTCCCAAGAGCTTAAAACAGTCTGGAGCCAGATCCAGAGATGCTGCAGAGTAGTACAGCACCATGTGTTTTGCTACTGACGATTGCCAGAGCCTTAACAATTTAATCAGGCATAAGCCATAAATGTAATTTATTGCTTAATTATGGCTTCAAAGCTGGTCTTAGGATAGTAGCATAAGTTAAGAGTTACAGTGTTGCATTTCTCTTTTGATTAGAGTGGCGATTTTTTGGTGTCTTCAGTCCTCATGTCTGAGTTCAGAGAACCATACATTAAGCCACCAATGCAGTCCAGACAGGATCCTTCAGGCCAGACTGTGCCACAGGAGGTATCCATCTAACCCACACCTTTCCTTCAGAGGAGGCAGGAAAGGTCAATTTGATGAGCAGCTGACTGTCTCTCCTGGTGCTAGGCACGGCCTGATGGTTTGGGCTCAAGCCGTTGCCATGGCAGGGTGTGAGGGAAGTGGAAGGCAGGTTTCCTGAGTTTGTCAGCTGCTTGGCAGAAAGGCTTAATCTGCTGCCAATGGTGTAGTGGTGCATCACAAAACTGGGGCCTAGTGGCAGCTGTGTAGTGTGTGAGTGTATACCTTGGTAAGGTGCATCTGTCCAGAAACACTGGTGTTGTATGTCTGAAACAACTGCAACTCACTCCATTACTGGAACGCTGGAATGCTGGAAACCACTTCTCAAATCCCCAGCCATTGTCAATCTGTACACCTCCGCATGCAGTCAGATACCAACTACATTTCTGACCTCAAATAATGGTAAGTGGGAAACCTTACCTAATTATTTCTTAGTAAGGGTTTATGCAATCCGTTTTTATGGTGTTTCGTAAGAAATTATTTGGATTATTTTGTGATTTTGTTCAGTTATGATTAGCATCTACAGTCACTGTGTTATGGATTTGTCACAGAGTTGTCACCTATACTGGATCCTCTGTACGTTATGGTATTTTAGTAAACACTGTAATGAAATATGCAACAGCTTGGCCTTAGGACTGTAGCTTTTGTTAGTATTGATATATGCTTGATCTTTGGCACTCAGATATAGTAAAATTAGGTCATCTTCAACTTGCTACTTTACTAAAAACATTATTTAGTAATTGGCGATCCAACACAACACAAGCAAGTAGTTTTTAGAGGTGTTGGTTATGCTTTGTTTCCAAACTAATACCTAAAGAGAGCAAATAGAAAACTCCTTAGTATTTGTGTACTGAATTGACGTAATGGATGTTGAAATTTGATTTCACTTACAGCGTGTTCTCTGAAACCCATCTGAGTTACTATTAAATATGACTTTATTCAAAATAATCATTAAGATATTCTGAAAGATGTCTAAAGATAAAGAAATAAAAGCAGGAAATGCCTTGCATGTCTTTTAGCTTTAAACGTCAGTTTATTTTTCAAAGGTTATTTATTTTTAAGCATAAATAACACTTTTTTTTTTCTTTTTTTCTTTTTTTAATATTATAGTAATACAAGCATACAGCATTGGAATCTGATTTGGAAAAAATGTTGTAGAAGTAGGTTAGCCATTGCTGAGCATGAAATCTAAATGGTATAGTTTATTTTAGCTCCTGAAAATACATTTGGACTATCCACCATCTTACTTCCTTTGATCCAAAACCAATGAATCATTAAAATACCAATTTAGTTAGTTTATGGCATTTTTACTTAAAATGTTGCATGTACCGTTTTCTTCATTATTATTCCATCATGGATTAACTTCCTGCATAACAAATAAATAGAAAAAAATAGAAAATGAAGAAAAAATGAACTCCCTTGCCAAAAGTGTAGGATCCATCCAAAATAACATCTGTCCTGCAATGTTTTTCTTGAAATCCCGTTTCCAACATCTGCATTCACAAGCTACTAAAAGATTGCCTTACTGTCAGCAACAGAACAATGTAATAAAAATTAGAACTGCTATATTGCTTAGGTGAACCTAATTGAAGTAGCTACTTATATGTGGAGAAAACATTTTAAACCTTGTTTTGTTATGTTAGAGGGAGATGGAAATTCTTTGCACATGAAAATCCTATTGCTTATGTATAAAAGAAGTGTAATTCGTTTAATGTGTGCACATAAAGATTCTGATATCTGAAAATGCAGACTTGTGTGTGTGTACAGTTTTGTATTTGCTGAGCTTAATGATTAGGGACTAAGAGTCTGTTCCAAACATTCAGCTGAAAGGCGAATGTGTTCACAGATGTCAGAAGTTCACAAATAAAACTTCATGTGCATGGATGTCATCCTTGCTGGAGAAGTTCTTCAGCATCTTCGTTTTTGAATGAACTGAAAATTTCAGAAAATCAAATCCAAGTTTAGTGGATTTTTTTCATTTATTTTCATTGTATATGATGATTTGTCCATTGCCTGTAAGTATGTTCCTCACAAAAAAAACTCCATTCTATACAGAAAGGAAAATGAATTGATGAAACTGGAATCCTGTTTTCTATTAAAGCCCTAAAGCAGGAAGGCAGACTGGAAAGGAGGGAATGAAGGGATGTAAAGAAAAAGGGGCTCAAAGAGCTGAGTAATCTAAGACTCATGAAGTTAATGGCAAAATTCCTGTTTAATCAAAGTGACTTGGGAAGGAATTGCCTCCTTACAGACTGGTGAGCACTAGCCACCACAGTGCAGTGAGCACTGGAAGAAGAGTCAAATCCTTGCTGCATGCTTGTTTTCTTCTTCTCCTCACTAAATGT